CGACTGAGCTTCTCGTGGTCCACAGAATAGATCCTAGCTGCAGCTCTTAGGCTCAGTTTCGGATCATTCTGGATTGCTTGAAGGGCTAATTGCACTTGGGCTTCGTCGTTTTTTAGGGGCATATTGCGTTGTGAGGGAAAGTCGATAAAAAGATGAAAGGTATGGAAGAGTGGATTTGTGGGACGTTCGCTTGTCTGGGACGTTCGCTTATCATGTACGTTATATGGCTAGATTTCTACGGGTACGAGGTTTAGAAGAAAGGGCACCCTTACCGAAGGTTGGAAACTCTTCAGGACCATGAGCATGCTTTTTCAAAGGCTGGAATTCAATCTGTAGCTTAGGTACTGGCTCTTTCGTAGAAGAAATGTCATAACTGGATGGGATAGCTTCTATACGTCAGATAACACTGCTCATGCTTGCCCGGAATACAAAATCCACTAGTTATGTCAATATTGCAACTGTATTAGTATTTTATTCGTGGGCCCGTTGGCTTAACGATTCGTCGAAGTCCTCCGTCACCCAAGTTATAAGAAATGATAGCTTTCTTCCGAGTTTGTCTGAGTACAAAGGTTTCGTGTGGAATACCTCTGTGGCCTTTTTGCTAGAGGAAAGGGCGTATTGCACATCTTCCAGACTAAGCACAAACACATCTCCGTATTTCGCAGGTTCCTTCTTCCTTTCCAACGCTTTCGTCCTCACCTTTCGAAGCAAGTCGACATAGCGGCATAGACGACGGCCATTTCTTCTATTCCCTCGGCGACGCACGCGTTAAAGGCAGCAATAAGGCTGCTCTCAATCTACCCCAACTTTTCGGAAACAATGAACGACCAGTAATTCTCGTCTGCAGGTGGTATGATTTGGGCATCTTAGCTCTGAGGTGCCTTAGTCGAGAGAACAAGAAGAGCAGGCTCAATTTCTTAAGTATTGATCGCGAGCAAGCAATAGAAGGGGAAGGGGACAGCGAGAAGGAAAAGGAGGAGCTAAGGAAAAACAGCAGCGCATTTCGCTACCAAAGGGCAGCAGCCGCCGAGGCACCCTAGAGCCTTACCGTTAGGCACTCGAGGAGGAAAGATCCAGGCTTGTGGCTTGATAGCACTGCCCTTCAAGTCTTAGGCGTTTATTTCGCGTGGTTCTCATGGTTCTGGTTGTCTGCTACACACCCCGGGCGGCTTTTTTATTAACCCCAATGTACCAAGGGATTGCAGAATCCCATCATGTCTAGAGGGAGTCGACCCCGGAGAACCAGGAGGCCGAAAGGTATATCGTACCCCTACGGTGCCTAAGGCGAAGTCGCTGTCCTGAGTCAAGCAGCGACCTCACCCAATCTAGAGCCTCAAATGATAGCAACAATACGGGGGTGGAGCCCGCGCAGGGCGCGTTATCCTGTGCGTTTCGGCTGCTTGTCGATCCTCAGCAAATAACGGGGTATCTACGGACGCGCGTAACGAACTGTCAGATAACGGGCCCTGGCCACTTCAACACCGGCCAGGTTGACCAGAGGTTGGTCAACTCCTTTGCCAGGGAGCATTTCTGCCAAACCCGCAATCATCAATGCGCCTCGTGTCCGGATAACGGGAACACACACCGCTAGCGGCATGACCGGCGACCTGTAGCCTTGGGTTCACGGCCAGTATCACGTTCAGGAGGCATGATGCGGAGGTATGTTGCTCTCGGCCTTGCCCCTTTCCCAGTCTCTTCAAACATGCCGCAGCATACGCAGGGTGACCGATTGTGGCACATCCTTTGCCGACATGGGGCGCAAGCGTCTCTGCCTCACTGGACCAGGGGATACGCAGCCGGTGGCAACTCCCAGAGGACCTGACATAAAAAGGAGTCCCCAGCAACCCTTTCTCCCTCCTGCACCGTAAATGCTCGCTCAGGCTCCCGGTCAGACTTCCTCGTGCGGCAGCATAACTTCAACTGAGCCCCAGCATTACAGAGACTCTCATCTTTCCGCCCGCACGATGGACATCTTCCCCCAGATATACATCGGTGAGGAGGAGTCGGCTGGGCCCGTCCGACAATTTCCTGGCTATCAGTTTCCGGAGGCATATTATGCTTCTCTGTCGTTCTTTCTGCACTACTCACCATCACTTCTGCCGCCAGAGTTGCATGGCGATGGCGTCCCGTCCCCAAGCCTGATTGAGGACATGGTCTTCCCCAACGACATAGGTGCTGTAGGGACGCGGCCCGGTAGTATCTATTCTACCACAGAGGCCGGATCGGCCATCATGAGGTGAGTCGCAATGCCGGATTTGATTCCCGCACCGACTGAACGGAAACAGTTGCAGAACCGAGATGCCGCGTCCTGCGGCAACGCCGCAGCCACTAACAGGCTACGCCGTGTCCCAACGCAATGACCTCTCGGCCAGGGCGGATAGGAACGAAGGCCCGGACCTAGGCTCACGCCGACCGCCCGATATTTCCTGGTTAGCAGCCGATGCGTTGCCACCACCTCCTGTGTCCTTTGAGTGGGGTGCTTCAACCCTACCCCCGGACAACTTCTTCCTGCTTCCATGGGCCGCAGCATCCCCTTCAGCCACGGTTAGCGGGATCCCCTTCGAGTTCGCCTCGTCAGTCGTCACGCCTAGCCGAGTCTTTTTGGAAGGCCAATGTCTCACCTCTGACGAGCCCAGCGGACTCGTGAAACCGGGCACCGAGTTGGCAAGGCCGGAGGAACCAACAGGCGGCGACGCCAGATTTCAAGCAGATGCAGGAGAAGATCATAAGCCATTCTCTTGTCCGTGGGACGGGTGTGGGTCGTGGTTCAAAACGAGAGACGGCTTGAGGGCTCACTTGAGAGAGGAATGCGGAAAACGGATCGGTTTGAGCGCAAGAAAGAAACAAAAAAGGTTCTTTTGCCTTCATACACTCCGGGAGACGGGTAAAGCTTGCAATTATTCCTTCTCTCGGCAGTACGAACTCACCCGGCATCAAGACTGCAAACACAACCGCTCGCGAGCGAGAATGCAGTGCCCGCGTTGCCCGACAACCTTCAATCGCAGGGACGCTCTTAAACGACACCTCGATGCACAGAAATGTACCAAGGGCCGGCACAAAGGGAATGCTCCAGGTTCTCCTGAGAGCGAATGACTAGATTCTGGCGCTCCTCTATCTTCATAAGAAAGCGAAGGTAAAAAGTGGCGAGAGGGAACGGGAAGGAAACATCCACTGTGGTATCCACTTTCTTCCGGCAAGTAAATATATAACTTAGTGTGGTCTATGGTCTCTCCAGCCGAGCATGTAGGATCACGCAACGACGTGAGAACATGGCCGCCCTCGTGGGCTTGCTCGTCGCTTGTCTCCCTCCTCCGGCCGAACGATGAAGACAGGAAACAATGGAACTGTAAAGGAACAGCTCTGACTCGTATGTAGCACGATGAACCGCTTCAGTAAGCTGTACGACAACTTCCAGAACTATAAATTCCCTCCTTGGCTATCGATATCTTTCTTGTTACCTCCCGGAATAGTTTACATCAATAAGAGCTGAAACCCTACAGATTGGCTAAAGCTGTAGTGACAATCGTATTGGAGTGCGTTCTATTCCCTTGGCAACCCATGACCCTTCTCGCTGAGCCATCGGTGAGGTTTTCCCGTACTGCACCTAGGTAGAATATGGGGTGCCACGGCAGAACCCATGTGGAAGGGCAATGGTGCACTGCCCAATGCAGTTCTCCCCGGCTCTCGCAACTACATCTCATACGCAGATAAAAAACACTCTTACAAACAAGCAAGAGCTAATCACAACAATTTCAGCATGACGCAGCGTCGATTTACCCATATAGATGCAGTTCTCATCCCCCCTGTGACGGCACGGCTCAGTGGCCCGCGATCTGCCGAGTTGGCAAGGCTGCATCAACGGAGAGGGAACTCGGTTGACTTCCTGTGCATACTAGCGGAAGCCAACTTCGCGTTGGGGTTGGAGGCCAAGGCGGCGGCGCAAAGGGCTGCAAGGCAAGGTGGCACACCCAACGTCCAAATGCCCCAGGCCAAGTCCACCGCAATCAGGCTGGCACTGGCGAAACAGCGACAGGAGAGAGCTCTTCCTGAAGGCGTGGGTAAGTTCTCAAAGGCTATGGACGTGGCACTACCTGGCAAGCACACTCGCGACCTCTATGATAAGCTGAAGCGAAGAGAGGCCTGTATCTTGGCACAACTCCGAACCGGAATGGCGAGGCTGAACGGCTTTCTGAGCAGAATTGGAGCGGTCGAGTCAGACCTCTGCCCCTGCGGCCAAGCGAGGGAAACAGTGGAGCATTTTCTGCTGTGATGCGTGAGATGGACAGCCCTGAGGGAAGACATGCTGCGATGTACAATGACAAGACGAGGGAGCCTCTCATTCTACCTTGGAGGGAAAGTTCGATCGGATTCAAAGATGTGGTCGCCAGACATGAAAGCAGTCCGGGCAACGATCAAGTACGCGATGGCGACGGGGAGATTGGATGCAGACGAGGAACAACGAAGACTGTATCAGTCGTAATAGTGGAGCTCACTAACAGCACACAGCCTCAACCAGCAGATCCCGCTTTAGCTGCTGAAGATGGGACGCTGAACACTTGGAGAACGTAACCTCCGAGACGGTCTGCTAACAATCAAGACAAGAGGCAAAAGGTATTGGGAAGCTTTGCGCAAAGGGCAACTCAAAGGGCTTGTGTGAGATCATGGAAGAAGCGGACGAATCGTATGTATTTAGCGTGCCGAGGCCCTTTAGGCTTAGTGCCTCCGGGCGAAATCAAATCCATCCATCCATCCATCCAACCCGCGATCTGCACGGTTCTCAGATCCATGACTCACTTTTTGCCGTCACATACACCCAATCAGGGCCGAATCAGGAACTGTGGGGCTAGCCTTCAAAAGCCCTGCCCACCAGAGCTCCGATTCCTCTTTTCTTCTGTATAGTTCTTAACGTTAACGTTATATTTAACTAGTTAAGTAAGACAGCAAAGCAGAGATAAAAGGAAAATGAAGAAAAGTGTCTCAATACGTTATAGATATTATTTGATCTCCTATTTACCACTCATAACAGAATCGTGCTTGCTGACTATACAAATTTATCAACTGAGATACCAGCCTGGCCTCGGCGTGGCCATCTCCATCCGATAATCCAATGATCCCTACGGATGGGTATTACCTTTGTAGTTGCACCCTGCTTGATAATACGGCGAAACACTCGCTCTCCATTTGCAAACTTAAGCTCGACAGAACATATATCACCAACTAGCTCTTCTGAGGAAGCAGAGCTCGGGTCGCCAACACAATGCGGCGTGATCTTCTGAAGGTCCCGGTCGTTGTAATAGAGCACAGTGGAAGAGAGACCGGTAGTATCTCTGTGGAAATATTTCTCCGGGTCTACCACCCTAATTCCTTCTAGGGCGGTGACAGGGTCATGAATGTTCAAAATAATACCGGACTCGAAGTGGACTTCGAATGTTGTCTCGTTGTGTTCATGCTTGTGCAATGATCGGAAGAGTTGTTCTTTGTCAAATCTCACGTCGCCGCTCCAATCAGAGACAATAAGTAAAAGGTGAGCCTGCACCGGTTTCTTCTTTCTATAGATATTGGTAAGCTTGTAGCCAAAAAGCGCAGGCTTTAGCCCAGCCTTAGTCGCCTTCTCGAGCCATTGAGCATCTTTGAATATCATCGCCCACACTCGTCCACTCATTCTGTCCCTTTCATGAAGGGGAAGTTTGCCATCTAAAGCTTGGTCCAAATGAAACTTATCTAGGAGGGTAAGGGAATCGCAGATCTTAGATCCCAATTCAAAGAGAATTTGGGGTTGCGCCATTATGGTTTGTGTTGCCCAGTGATACCAAAGAATACTGGTGGGCTGGGAGACAACAAGTCCGTAAGCTTTTATATTAAATCTCCTTTAGGGAAGAATGATGTGAAGTTTTCAAGACTGAAACTTAAATTTAATATATAACGTTTAGGGAGGCTGCAGGGAATGACTTGGGTGGCATACCGTCAGCTCAAGTTTGTTAAATCTCACATTTTCCTACTGTATAACCAACGCCCGGTGAAGAAACATTGGGGGCCGCCCGCGCAGGCGGCCAGGCATCGCATAATTTGGAAGACAGGTCCTTTGCGACCTGGTCTTTCATTTCCAAGGGGTTGCAGTTCCGCGCAGCTACTGCCCGGCCTGTTGGCGGCCGAAGACGTCGATTTCGAGGATCAGAAATGAGGTTTCTGAGCGCCCGGAAATCCCTCACCACCCCGCCCGACAACCGCAACTTACCGACACCAACGACAGGAACAAGCTGCAACAAACTTTGCAACATCAGGGGGATACTGGCTACGAAAACTACCCGACTCTTTCGACGTTCTGAAAAAGAGACAGGGCACCCTCGGCGCTGCCCAGTTTTGGGAGAGCGAAGTTAAGAGTCTTGGCGGCAATCCCGACCGGTGAGACGACGCTACGAGGACTGTAGCGAAAGCTGGTGTACGACTCCGATTGCAAGAGTTGCTATTCGACCGAGGAGAAGGAAGGTGACGGGTTCGTTAGGGGGAGGCACACGGGCGGCTGGCCTTCCCTCGAGGCGCTTCGCCCTCTTGATAAACAGCACACTACAAAGGGAGGAACTACGATAGTGGATCAGGGCAGGTTAGTGGCAGTGCGATGGAGGGAGCTGCACCGGTGTGGCAGCTTTTTTCCTACGACATGCTGTGAGACACGGTCGGCACTGCGGCTTCGGCCTCGTGGGGAGACCTCGCAGTGCAACGGGAAGCTGGAAGTCGGTGGTTGCGCCCGGCAGAAGGTGGGTCGTGGCGGCTATGCTGAATCGAGGGGAGGGCAGTAGAGTTGCGGTCCCGGCTCGCACCCGGGCCACAGGAGCGAAACAGCTGTTGCCTCGGCCGGGGACCTGTTGGACTGTCCGCGTGGCTAGGCCACGTCCCCTTGTTTCCGGGCGCAGGTTACAGTATGGGATGAAGCCGCGGATGGATTGCACCGGGTATGGGTACCTCGGCTGTGGAACAAATGTGTGGTGTCGCCGCCGCAAAGAATCTGTAGCTCCGAGGAGCAGTGTAGCTGGCCGGAGAGGACGGACGCGCGTGTCGGTTCTCCAAGAGAGATGGAGCTTTGCAGATGCCAAGTACCCAGCTCGCACCCGGGACCCAGCCCTGCGCAGGCTGCTGTGGTGTCGCCTACGAAGCTCTGTAAGGTTTCGCCTCTTGCGGAGGGCTTAAGGTCCAAACCCTGGGGTTCCGTGGCCGAGAGGTCCGGTAGGGAGGTCTGGCCTTGCCTCTCTGACTAGGTTGCCCTACGAGGCAGGTCTGTGCAGCTAGTTAGCTAGTTCGTAAGGAGAACAATCTAGGGACTCTAAGGCCACGGTCTTCTTCCCACGAACCACTTCGGCGCGCGCAAGCAGCGGTCAGCAGAGCAAGCGCTCGTGTTTCTGCAGGAGCAAACATACACCGCATGGCGGAGGAGAGAGATTTGAGCCTGGTCAGCTTCGACGTCAAAGGAGCGAGCCTATAATGGCAGATCTACTCAAGGACGTGCTAATGGAGAGCCTCGAAACGGCCAATCCGTTCGTGCTGACACCATGGGAGGAGCGAGTGGACACCACGGTTGATGAAACAGCCACAACGCAAATGCCGTGAGCAGCTCCGCACGAAACGGCATGGTAGGAATGGGAGGGGTCGTCCGTATCCCGCTATCCATGCGTGGTGGACCGCGAGACAAGACCTTCAAGATGACGCTAGGCGCAAGGACGGAACAGAACCCTTTCTCAGCAGAACTTGCAGCAGTCCGCATGGGTTAAGCTTGCTGCGGGAAGTCACGGACCGCCGGATCATACTCGCCACGAGCAACAAAGCAGCTGTTTTGACCCTGAAGAGTCCACGCCAGCAATCAGGACAACAATACGTCTCCGAGGCGTACGAAGCAATACAAATAGCACGGAACGCCAGGAATGTGATCTCAGTCGTGTGGATCCCAACGACCGCCGAAAATGAGCTCCTGAAGATTGCCAAGAACAACGCGAGAGAGGCAACCCAACAGAACGCTAGGCAACAAGGCCAAGAACCCAGGATGCGATCAACAACACTCCGTGTTGCACGGGCTAAGCGGACGTTGGCCAAGTCCTTGCCAGAGAAAGTGGGTAGGCACACTAACGGTTCACCATTGCTACAGGTCGTCTAAACGCAGAGTAGCAAGAACGAAACAGCCTGAATCCATCACCAACAGCTCATCACCATCAACTCATTACCACCAACCCGACCGACACCACCCACCTCGTGCCGCGCCGAGTAAGCACCTCAACCGCCGAGGATAGGACGTTGAACTCTTGGAGACTGGACTTCAAGCCGGCTTACTCATGTTATCACTAACCCACGACCACCAGCAGAGAAAATGGCAGAAGAAGTCAGGACGGAAGCCATAAAAGGAGAAGGTACGGGCTCTGGGAGACCTGGATCCATTAAGAACTGTATTAGTACATAGATGTGCATAGTTGCCCTTCGGGTTAAGCCCGCCGGGCAGAATGTGTGTGTGTGTATAACCAACACTGATGGGGAAGGTGGGGGCTTCCAGAGATCTGCCAACTAAGATGGTCCAACAAGATTAGAAGGTGAAATACTAATGTTTCGCCGGCAGCAAATTGGTGAGTGCTCACTGAAACAGGAAATTGAAAGCACTGCCTACCCTGCGAGACTGATATTAGGGAAAAACCCTGTTCCTCAGCACCTGCTCCTCAGGCGCTGCTAATCAGCATGTCCCAGGTGGTAACACTCCGACCTACCATGCATATCTCCCAACCTGCCAGCCGTCCTAGCCGGTTATAGCAGAAAGGACGATGCTCTTGGACAAGATGCATACAAGGCCCTTCTTTGTTATTTTCCAAGCGAGAGGCTAAGAACACGTGCGTAACAGGCTTTTACAAACTAGCTCTACGTAAGCAAACTCACGGCTGTGGAAGTAAACTGTCACAATGTCCTTATTGCCCGAGAGCCCAGCAAGCCTCCAGAATCGTTTGTTTTCTACTAGATACCCTCCGGGTCTGCGGCTTCCCTGGGTGGCTAGTGCGGTGGATTAAAGCCTGGCTTGAAGATAGGACGGCCACGCTCTACTTCGACGGCCGAGCTACAGAGACTATACCAGTCAAGGCTGGGGTACCACAGGGCTCCCCACTATCCCCTATCCTCTTCATCCTTTATATTGCTTCCCTATATAGGGCGTTGAAGGAGAAGCATCCAGGGATAGCTAGGCTTTGCAGATGATACCAACCTCTTAGCCTTTGGCCGAGGGCCCCAGGTCAATTGCCGACAACTAGAAGAGGCCTGGAAGACCTGCCTACAGTGGGCCGACTCTAGAGGATGGTCTTTGCCGGAGAAAAGAGCGAGCTGATCCACTTCAACAAAGGCCGAAGGCAATGGCCAAACCCAGTCAACCTGGCCCACCCACAGGGCCAAGGCTTCAACGCCATACAGCCTACACCCTCTAGCCGGTTCCTTGGAGTCTGGCTAGATTGGAGGCTAGATTGGAAGGCTCACCGGGAAGCTGAAAACACAGGACTTCGCACGATCCAGAATAGCTGCCAAGACCTGGGGCCCAGCCCTCGCCAAGGCCCGGGAGGTCTATACCAAGTGCATTCGCAGTGCCCTAGCCTATGGAGCTTCAAGCTTCCACAAGCCTACCCCCATTTGCGGTCAGCCCCGGGGCATTGCAAAAGACCTCCAGAAGGCCCAGAACAGAAGCCTACGGATAGTGGCCGGGGCCTATAAGGCTACCCCAACCCGACGCGTTGAGTCTGAAACGTGGGTTCCTCCAGTAGACCTCTATTTTAACAAGAGGCTAGCCGACTTCGAAGACAGGCTCCAGGAGCCTACCCTCCCGACTCCTCAGGCTTCTCAGCTGGCAACCAGGCCTGGAACAGAGCCTGCAACAAAGCCTCCTCTCCCAAGCTACCGGCCTCCTAGCCTGCTAGTCGAGGAGGCCTGCAACAGGATCCGCAACCGCTTCCAAGGACTACAAAGAGCCAGAGGGCCGACACAACCTCTAGCAATAGAGGAAGCTACAGAGGCTATCGCAGCCTGGAGAGCCCAAGGCAAAGACTCTACAGAGGCTATCAATAAGGCCTGGAAGGCCAGGTGGGCCCAGGTGGCCACCAACCAACTACAACGGTATAGGGCTGTCACGGCCCCCACTATGAGCCCTACACCTGGGCTATTGGCAGGCGAGACACTGTGGATTTCATGACGAAGGGAACATGACTCGCAACAGAGGGAGGATATCTGGAGAGCGGGAGACTCAGATTGGGACTTGGAACTTCCCTCTCTCAAGGATCAGTCAGTTGGTCAGTGGTGCACGCACAATACAGTCGTCTTGCCTGCGTCTCGTTGTGGATTCGGTGCATCTTCCTTGGTGAACCTGTGTGTGTCACCTTACAAGGGCTCGGAACCAGGCCCTGCCCACCGTACAACCGGCCGTCATCGGCCGAAACTTGACAAAGGGCACTAGAAGAGCATGAGGGCCTCACAAAGGCCGACAGCTCCCTACTGACCCAGGCCCGGACTGGGGCTATAGGCCTCAAGGACTTCCTCTTCCGGGCTAGGGTCTCTCGAGTACCTACCCCCTACTGCGAATGCGGCCAGGGCAGGGAAACAGTGGAACATTTAGCTGTGTGGTGCCGCCAACCGCCGAATGTCACGAACCAACCATATAGAGACCTGGTGACGCGACGAAAAGCCAATCAAGACATGTAACACTAGGGGAAGGCTAAGAGTGGGGCATGCAGGAAGGATGACCGGTATCTCAAGAAGCCGGGTGAGCGCAGTGAGCGGCTCACCAGGATCACCACCAAGAAAGGTGATCGCAGTGATCCAGGTACGAGGGTACCTGGGGGACGAAGCTGTACATAATCTACGATCTCTGACGCCCACGGGCAGCACTGTAGCTTCCTCAGTAAGCAATACAAGCAGTCAGCTACACCTACTGTCGAGACAATTGCTTGTGCACTTGTTGTGAACCCTTTGGCTTCACCGAACCTCACCCCGTCGTTAAGTTGAATCTTCAGGAGCCCCTTTCAGAAGTAGGGGCTACGAGATTCGTCACACCGAAGCCAAGGACTTGGCCGGCTACAGAGATACGCTCACAGAGAAACCTGTATAGGGCTCTTGACGGGTGGGGGAGCAAAGAGAGAAGGCTTGCAAGGTGATTAGGTGGCTGCTATGCTCTTGGGGGGCTCCTAGAGTATAGGCTAGCTCTACGGCTAGAGCTAGGCTAGTTCGATGGCCTAGTTGGCTATCTGCGCCTTTCTTTTCACTGTAGCGGATGGATTCAGGATTTCAGACTGGCATAGGGAAGACAAGGGTTTTTAGTCCAGCCTTATAGGCATGGTTTTCCTTTGTAATTCGTGGTAGAGGGTCCGGCGAGCCCTAGGGCATAGCGGTGTATGAATAATAATAAAATAATAAATAAACCAAACTGTCACGGCGATTGCGCCGCGCCTGCCAGGACCCACGGGTGGGCCTCGGCGTGTGGGAAGCACGGGCCCCTGTAGTTTGAAGATTCTGCAACTCGCTGCCGCGAGTCCTGTTCGTAGCACCTCGAGCTACGTCTTGACAATCAAGCCTGCCCGTACCCGACGGAATAGAGCCCAGACTGTAGCTTAGACTGAATACACTTGTCATTGGATTATCAGCCTGTCCCGCCCGTGACACAAACCGATATTTCAAGACTTGCTACAACCACAAATGACAAGATAAATGATCGGAAACCAATAACGTTAGCTCTAGTTACTCTTTAAAGATTACCAGTGTCAATTCATCTTCTGACGCAAGCGGCGCTTCCTATCCTCTTCGGAAGATTTAGTAAGTACATTTCGCTTGCTCTTCCAGTGTACTAATTTATCGGTATATTCAGAACGTCCTTTGTCGTTGCGCATCCGTGCATTTTTTCCCTCGGGAGGTATATCCTGCAAAAACTTATCGTCTGTAGCTTGTCGTTTGTAATTTGCAGTAAGCTCGGTCGTGCCAAGGCTAACACGAGCCGGAATGACATCTAAAATGCGAAGACAAGCCTGGGGATCAAGCAGCTCTGTATTGAGCTCCCATGAACCGTTGCTATGAGATTCGTATTCAAGGTATCGTCTCATCTCATATATCACGCTTCTCCAAGATAATAGGAGTGATACGATTTGCCGCTCAACGCATACAAATTCTGCTATATCAACGTTGGAGAATCGTTTTCTAAGTTCTTTCGTCATTTTGTCCCAGCTCAACATTTGGTACTTCGAAATTCGCTTTTGCTCATCTGCGTTTAGGCATTTCTTAAAACCCCAAAAGCTAACCGTTATGTCTGCAGCACGTATATGATACAATTCGTCGACGTCCCATCTTAGCAATGACTGAAGAGACATGTTACATAAAGTGGCATAAAAAGTAGTTAAGATATTACTATACAATCTTTAGATCGGAGAGAGTGGGAGATTAAATAGCTTACGGCGTGAAGCTTCTAATTTTAGGATGCTAATATCTGTTTTTGAATCACGTTAGTACGTGTAGATTCGTTATAAATTGGTTTTGACTTTGGGCCTGGATGGATGGATGGATTTTATTTGCCCGGAGGCACGAAGCCTAAAGGGCCTTTGCACGCTAACTACATCCGGTTCTTTGACGTTTGGTCATCAACTCGTGCAAGCCCTCTACACTTTTAGACGTGAACCCGTTCACTACAATGGTTGCCGTGCGCTTAGAGCAGAAGGCATCAACATACCTGATCAGGGACTCAGGTGACTTTGGGCTGCTTTTAATGTAATAGCTGCTCTGAGACGGTCTCACATGATAACCTGGTAACCTTGGGCGATGACAGATGGATTGCGGACCAGTTAGACATTCTACCATCCGGCATGCGCAAACCCGCATTGGAGACCATAGTCGACGTCAGATCACGACCTCCGATTTCTGGGTTTGATTAGAACAGGACTTCGGCTCGCTTATAAGGAAGAGGGACAAAGAGGATGTCAATGGGGTGAGATACATAATGCTCTCGGGGGTTTGGGAAAAGGGGCATGACAGAGGGTTATTTAGCAAGCTTCAAAATTGGGCTATAAGTGTAGAGGCCACAGGTCAACGTGCCGCACTAGAGGTACATGTGTGGCTCTGAGAGAGAGAACAAGTGTTGCGCAGTAGTTCGGCCAGGCTGAGTGGTAACTGCACGCCCACTGATAACAACTAGGGCATGGACGTGATGATCCCTTGATTCTTTTTGGACTATCATGACCCTTCTTAGTTCTCAAAGAGTAGATTGAAACACGGAGATTATAGTAACCTATTCGCCTGAGCCGAGCTTCGGTGAGCTCGCTCATAGAGTTCTTCGCATTTTTGGCGCAATGATGTACATATATGGTTCATGGAGCACCTTCCTGTGTCGATAGCGCCCTCTCTCTTTATCGTCTACGTATAATGCTTTGTTTTCCTAGACATTACCTTCGCTCTGCGCCGCTGAATGAGTTTGTGAATTTACTATAGCGTTAATTACCGCTTTTCATCTTTGACCTTAGCAGCACTATAAGCAGATCACCCACGCGACTATAGTAAGAAACATAAATAGCTCTCTAGCCGCTGTACTAAATTAACACAGGCAAAGTATTCGGTCATCATACATCTAGTAAGCCACGCTAGTTATCGGATATGAAGAGTGCTAAACCTTTTAAACCCAACTATACGCGCTCTCTTGGGGCTTGTGGTTTTAGGGACAAACTGAGTTTTACGGACAAAATGAAGCATATACCAAACGAAATCCTAATCATTATTGCGTTTAATCTCCAACATGTCAGCGACGTTGGAGCTTTTCGCCTTGTCTGTCGCCGTTGGGCGTGTGCTGGATACATTGTCCTTGCCCGGCATCTCTCTGTCCTCAAGACATCAAGTTGCTTGGACGACTTCGTAGACTTCATCGTAGAGAACCCTGCCTCAGCTATCTACACGAAACACTTGTCAGTCTATCATGGCGCATGGACCCCACAGTCACGCATCAATTGGCAGCTTCACCCGCTGCTTGTTGGAAAAGAGGGGATCGCAATCGGGACCCGTTTGGATCAAGCTGCGGATAAAGCGTTCTGTAGGTACAAGGAATTCATCGAGACAGAACGGCAGACTCCGTTACGTAACTATCGGAAAAAGGTTTATCGCCTCCTCCAATTATTTCCTTGCCTTAGCCGGCTCACGATAGGCCATCTCAACAAGTATCGCTGGCGTGGTATTAGAAAGCCGCAGTATGCAAAGTTGATCGGCAAGATATGGCTTCTCCCAAAACTTGAAGACAACATCGAAGAGGCTATCCAGATCATACTTCCTACGCTTAACTCTCTGCCGAACATTACGCACATCGACTTAGAGGGAACATTTGCTCCTCCGTCCTGGCCGACCCAAAGCTACAAATATATTACGAGTCTCACGATCAATCCTCTATTAGTCCGGGAGTCCCACGAGGAGAAGGCTATTGAATTCTTGTCCCAGTTCCCGCGTCTCCAGAGGTTATCAATATCGCTAAGTCCAGCTAGGCTCACCTGTCTCCCGTTGGGAAAGTTATTGTTTCCGAGGTTAATCTACCTCAAAATAGAGAACGGCGTCTTTAGATACGATATTTTCACTGCGTTTATTGACCAACACCCCGTTTTAACCACACTGGATTTACGGCACGGGCGTTTTAAAGTAACGGTCCAAAAGTCTGTCACACCCCACATGCAGATCCCCAGCCACCCGCTCTTCAGGTCACTGAAACCATCAGCATATCTATACATAACGCAACCCCACCAAAAGCTCTAGTAAAACAGATATATATAGATAAAAGCCTTGGTTCCAGGGATCAATATTTTGTATACCAACCCCTGGCTTTCTTGACTGCAGCCAGCCGCCGGGGGATTGAGTCAAGCAGGCCGTCAATCTGGGCCTGGTCGATTGCCCACCAGCATACCCGAAGACATCGAGTAAATTCGGCCACATCCAGCTGGTTTTTCTTCAATAGCCAAACATCTGGGTATTGCTGCTTCATCCTCTGTTTCAATAGAGCCCACATGTGCTCGATTGGATTAAGATCTGGACTGTGGGCTGGCCAACCATCAAGGACCTCAACTGCGTGTTCTAACAACCATGTGGTTGAAGATGCAGACGTATGAACCCGCGCATTGTCTTGTTGGAAATGCCGCGTGCCATCGTAAATCGGAAGAAGACCTTTCTTCAAAGCCTGTTGATAACTCCAAGAGCTATATCCTCCTTTTTGTGGTGGTTGGTAGTCACGTTCCATGACTACAAGGTCAGTCCTCCCCCCTTTCCAAATGCCACCCCAAATCATGATCGAAATCGTGCCTTTGCCATGGTTTTGAAGGTTGACGAAGCTCTTGTCCCATTTCTGAGAAGGGAACCGGAAGACCCAAGCTGTTGGGCTACTTGAATTGTTTTGGCATGACGATTCGTCGGTGAAGATGGTCTTAGGTTGGTTAGCAAGATCAGAGGCTAACTTCGGAGTCACTTACTCGGATCAAGGTCTCAATATTCTCTAACCAAAAGCAGGCAAATGAATATCTATCCATTGCTACTGCCTTTGACAATGGGATCCTCTTCTGTGCACGCCATTTGCGTACCCGTTGCTCGCGAAGAACTCGACGTACCGTTGAGCGGGAGATACGGCCGTCTATGCTGTTAGTAAGCATTTGAGTCGTATGCCGAGGGAAGCGCTTAGCCAACTGTAGGATAAATCGCTTTTCCCGACGTGTAAGAACCTCTGGCCGGCCTGTTCGAGGCTTGGATTCAACAGTGGTAGAAGATTGGAACCGTTGAAGTATACGGTAGACTGCTGTCCTTTCGACGCGAAACGCACGAGCAACAGCCGACTGGCTAGCCCCGGCTGCAACGGCACCAATAATAGCTGCACGTGCTGCAATTGACAGCTCCTGGCCAGGTCGACGGCCGGCCGTCAATTTGGCCCCGATTTCGTCTAAATTGACCATTGTTTGTTGAAGCTAGGTTGGTTGAAAGGTTGAAGATGGTGGGTGTCGTGTCGCGTCGCGCGTTTAATTGATTGGGGTGTGACAGACTTTTGGATCCCCACTGTAGTGCGGAGCAGTCAGATGTTCTCGTATCTGGACGGTCTTGCGTTGGAAGGGCAGCTCCAAAGAGACATGGGCTGATTCTCAAGTGCGGATTTGGTTTGGATTTGAAAATCACGGACATCTTGCGTAACCAATGCCCCACACTTCTTGGATTTCCGAGTCCTGGGGGTGGCGGGACGGGCCCGAGACACGTCAGGCTGTCTCCAGATCGCGAGGCTGAAGCTTGCTGCAAGCCATGTCGCACGCCGTCACGGTGCCTGCGTATCTACACAGTACGATGTGTTGGGGCCCTTGGAGGTTGGAATTGTCCGGCTCATCCATGCCAGGAGAACCTCGTTGGCAGCCCAGACCTGGCCCGGGATCTTCCGTGTATCATCGAAGTCGGTGAATTGGTGGATATCCAGGGACCTTACAGAACATGGATCAGCCATGGTAGCGGTTGAGAACCTTTGCCTGGCGACCAGGTCGACGGGAGGGCTGCTGTCTAGGTACCTGCCTAAATGATGTTAGACACACTACCTTGTCTCGAACTAACGGGCATGAGCTGCATGCGCCCAGTCTGGAATATCTCGAAGCGCGTGCTTGTTCGAAATGGCCCCCAACAAGGGCAGTCTGATCCATCATTCGCCTGACAATTAGGTATGGGAACCGCGCCAAGCTTCCTGGCTTCCATACTGAGAAACCTACGGATAATCCAATCATCTACGCAATGGGTTGTCGGCCGCACGTCCCCTGTCTTGCCAGAAGATCCCTTGCGCGGTCGCTGCTATGCTCCGTTGTTGTTCAGGAGGAGTCAGCCTGGAAACATGTGCGCCTTTCGAAGCTCGACTTACTGTGGACATGCTTCCAGAAAAATGCCACTTGCCCAAGCCGGTTGTAGCAGTCTCTCCGTTCACAAGGTGGGCCGGGGACGTTGATGACTGAAGACCACCCTTGCTGCAAACCCACCGCAGGCCGACTAAAACCCCTAAGCGATCACTCTCCACCCTCCACCCTCCACCACCGAACACACGTTCATCACCTCGTACCACGGACAGCAGGCACCGCTTCGAGTGCCGAGGATAGGACGTTGAACACTTGGAGAATCGCCTTCAAGCCAGCCTCCTTCCACCCCAACTAACCCACGAGAATCCGAAGAAAAACGGTAGGAGAGAGAATACGAGCTAGAATGGACTTTGCATGGGCTTTAAGGAGATCAAGGAATATCTTGGGAAATGTATGGTTAATTGGTATTAGTTGCCCTTTCGGGTTAAGCCCGCCGGGCGGAATAATTGTGTGTGTGTGTGTCTCGCGCTGAGGTGGAGATGCCAAGGCTCATGCGACGGCATTCGGGAGCGAGCCAAGCTGCCTGCTGTTCGCGGCATGGTGGCCTCTGCATCCCGCCGCCTTCCCAGAGTTCACAACCTGCCATCTTCGTCAGAAGCTGCAATGACCGAGCCAATGAGCTCGCCTTGCCGCCTCACACCAGCGTCAACCACACTGTGGCCCAAAAGCAAAGCCTGCAACACCTTGTCAACGTGGCCACCCTTCTATCATCAGTATTCGAATTAGGACGACAGAAAGGCAAAAAACTGAAGGATGTGTCTTGAGTTCTATCCCCCTTCGCTCTTCTTGCATCTCAGAATTTCATCTGCCAGCGGACCAAACCTGCTCCATTGACAAGGCATCAATTGACCCACTTAGGTGGTGGCATAGCCACCACCTAAGTGGGTTCATCAAGGCAAACGTCCTATTGGCTACGAAGAGATCTGTTGGAAGTGGTGGCACTTGAAAGACGGAAACTGGGTTGCCGGTGCCATACCCTAGTCAAGGGTGACACACAGGTGTTGCATAAGGCCTGGGAGGCACCCGTGCAGCTTAAAGAAGGGAACTGGAGGAAAAGATGGTCAACAGAAGTCTCAATTTGACCAAGTTTCTGGGCGGCTCCCGAGCACTCGAAGAAGTTCACTGTTTTTAAAGGCGTGTCACCGTGGAATCGTGGTTGTGTCACGGCGATTGCGCCGCGCCTGCTAGGACCCACGGGTGGGGCTCGGCGTGTGGGAAGCACGGGCCCCTGTAGTTTGAAGATCCTGCAACTCGCTGCCGCGAGTCCTGTTCGTAGCTCCTCGAGCTACGTCTTGACAATCAAGCCTGCCCGTACCCGACGGAATAGAGCCCAGACTGTAGCTTAGCCTGAATATACTTGTCATTGGACTATCAGCCTGTCCCGCCCGTGACAGGCTGTTGGTCTTCCAACAAGATCAATGGGTCCGACATCGAGCCGGAACATAAGAAAGTTGCCATGTTTTCGGGGGAAAAGCTTCTGCGAAAGCGTACCGATGCCACTAGTATTGACTATGAGCCTTCTTAGGGTAGAAACTCCAAGGGCTTGATGCTGAGAGAAACAGCATACGTGGGATAGTTCTCGATGGGTCTCCGCTTAGCCAAGACCAGCTCAACCCATATGAAGAACAGGTACGTACGCCAATGGATCCAGTTCAAATCGCTATTAAACGGAATGCTTAGTATCCCCTCGGTACTCAACCATCGTCATGGAGTGCTCGTCCAAAGGATACCGCGGTGACCCATTCTCTATCTTGTGAGGCACCAAGAAGCAATGCAATTATACTATACTTATTCTATATGATCATATCACAAGGATCAGTAACTAGCATCTTACAAAAGCGTAATAATAAGTAGTTAACGTTATGCAAGTTCAATTTCCATCAGGCGGAGAGTGAAATGTATATAGCATGCCCAATCTACCTTCGCCTATGTACTCGGCTCTGCGGGGCTGTCCGTCATAACTTCGTCACCCAAGATATTCTGCACCAGACCCACGGTGAATTTCTGCATACCGCTTTTTAGCACCTCGATGCTCTGCTGGAATTCCGCCGTAGCGTTATCCAGCTTCTTCAAGGCGTCATCCGCTCTCGCTACGAGCTCCTGAAGGCAAGAGTCCCTTGCTGCCTGCCTCTGCTCAAAAAGGTCCATCCGGAGAGACATGTCCTGGATAATTCTTAGGATTCTGTTGTGGAATCAGCTACTATATCCTACAACTGATAGGGGAGGTTGTACCTTTTCTCGTCATCAGCCGCAGTGCTGGGTCCTAGTGATGATCCGAGGCCAAGATGTCCCTCAGGAGTACCGAACTCAAGGGGCGGAAGATTGTCCAGGCTCCCAAATTGAGTAAGATCAAGTCCAAACCAGTCTTGCTGATCCATCGTATGATACACCAAACAAATAAAATCTTAGACAACCGAAGTGCTTAACATTAAAGTCGTCCTTGGTCGCCAGATATGATTTTATATCATCTGCCTGGACGCTGAACAGGAAGTCACATACCCTGACGATTCCATGGAAGGATTTCCGGGAATCTAATTTCAATCTCCGCGTCTCGCTGTACTGCCGTACAGTAAGGCCTGCTCTGCTATCGGTAGCTGGCATCCTATGATTCTCACCTCCTGTGTAAATGCAGGTAAGACATATCACTGTGCCTGACGATGCTAGAGACTCCGTGCTGCGACAGTTGAGGGCGCACTGTATAAACCGGCCAATGGAATCTTTCATCACAATCACACGTTAGCGCTGTGCTCATTCCACCGAGCCGTAAGGTCTCCAGTTTCTCATTGTCTCGCTGTTGCTCACCCCAGAGTTCATGCTGCGAAATGGTCGGGTTGACATCCGCCCGTCCGACCGCAGACCTCCCCTGAAGCGATAAGTCAAAGGAAGGTGCTGATGCAGCATGTAGGATGACAATCCCATATGATTACCGAATTAGATACCAGAGCGTCGAGCAGATTTTCTGATGCTGTGGGTCACAGGAAGTTTACCAGACAAGAACTAGTGCCTCGTCTCTAATCTGAGTCCCGCCAAAGGGGTCTTCCTACCGCGGAACTATCGTACCGACCAGCAGCAGCTCGAAGCTAAGCGACAGCGGGCGGAATGTGGGTGACGTGCTGGCCGTGTGGTTGGTGGCAGCTGTCAAGCGTCCCTGTGGGTATGTGCTCGTACTCACTTGGTCAGCTTGCTTGACATGACTGGGACGGGAGGCGTAGATGAGCTTGGACCGACCGAACGCCTGGAGGTCTGGAGTAGTGGCCAAGCTGTGAGCTTGCTGAAGCAGGGTGCGCCTGCGAAGGCTGGGCGAGTCTGAGAGGAGGGGTCGACGTGGTCATGCCCTCTGGAAGACTGTGATGCTGGCTGCGGTAGCGCTTTAGCAGTCAGCCAAGGATCGAGACAAAGAGTTCAAGTAGCCAATCCACAGTGGCTTACCAATGGATCAGGTCCCCACATGTAAGAGGTCCCTGGATCCGTTTCACCAGGTAAGGTTGGCCATCATCAGATTATTTATAACACAGTCTATATACTTAGTACGGTTACCTCCTCAATCCAGGCATCATTTGCGGCGCTGACTTTGGAGAGACTAATCCCGCGAGTTTATAAGCACTATGAGGATAGCATGCCTGCAATTCGCTCCCCAGGTCGGCGACATCGACAACAATCTCAGCCGAGCCGATGCCGCCCTTAAAACAGCAGATCCCGATGGCTCGGTCCTTTTCGACATGCTTGTCCTACCAGAGCTTGCCTTCACCGGTACGGGAACATCCAACCTCCTACAATCTAGCGAAAAACCTAATATGTATACTACAGGCTACAACTTCGAGTCGCTACAGCATATCTACCCCTCCCTCGAAGAAGCTGGCTCGGGCATCTCTTCGCTGTGGGCCCGAATAACTGCCCTCAAGCACGACTGCACCGTTGTAGTAGGGTACGCAGAGAAGGTGGACGCAGCCGCCCACGAGTACTACAACTCGGCTCTCATTGTCAACCGCAATGGCAACATCGTCGGCAATTACAGGAAATCGTCATTGTACTATACCGATAAGACTTGGGCTCGCGAAAGCGCCGGCGGCTTTTTTCGGGGCAAAATGCCTGGGTTTGGGAATGTTGCGATGGGCATCGGCACGGATCTCAAGTAGGTCTTGCCGTAGGGCAAATTATTACCCTACGGTAACATGCTGACGTCGGCCAGCCCTTACCAGCCGGATACCCCTTGGGACGCATTCGAATTTGGGATTCATATCGTTAAATCTCAGGCAAACGTGGTCATTCTGATGATGGCCTGGCAGACAGACCAAAATCCGAGTTTGTTCGGCCGCAGCCCTCAAGAGCCCGACGTCGAGACACTTGTCTACTGGGTTCAGCGGCTTGAGCCCGTGATTTGCGCAGACAAGGAGGAGGAGGTCATCGTTGTATTCTGCAACAGGACTGGGGTCGAGAAGGACGCCACATATACCGGTACCAGTGCTGTCATCGGTATCAAGCAGGGCGAGATACTCGTCTATGGAGTTCTTGGATGCGGAGTGGTCGACCTTCTGATTGTTGACACGGATTGCCCGCCCCGATACAGACTTACGGGTTCCGATAGCACGGAGGCGGACGAAGAAAGAAACCAAGCATGCCAGCCAGCCCCTGCTGATCCCAGTGTTGAGAATGGGGTTGATAGACCTGACGAGCCTATGCGAACGCCCCGGTCACCGACCCACCCTCAGATCTCCTCCCGGTACGAATCAGATTGCTCTATTACAAAGGCCAACATTCCGGGTTCTCCAAATACACAGAAATTAGCGCACCGGCCATCCCGCCCCAAACTGGCAATCCCGTCGTTCACATTGAGCTTTGACCACATACAGAGCTCCCGTGAGTCGTGGTCTGCCGTCTTTGGCGGAGGAGCAACCATGACGCCGATCACACCGTTTGAGGAGGACGGATGGAGCTCTACCCCTATAGACCCGGAACCACCACAGTGGTACCGGAAGTACGAGTCAACAATGCCGACCTTGGACGAGAGTATCGGTGAGGAGGAACACGAGTAGATCGGAGGTCTTGTGCCCTTGTAGAAGCAATGGATAGACCCGAGAGAACAGTCTATATTTACAACTCTATTCTTGAATCTTGCGGCAACTACTGCTAGTGTAGGAGGAAGAGCGTTTGTAGCCTTGGTGCCACGGCCTGCAAGAGTAAGGGTACGCATTAGCGTTATAACGTTGACCTCGTAAGGTTACTGGTCTCTCTGCCTATAAGGGTTGCTTCGTTTTTGCTAGCAGCTAAACACTTAGGTACAGCCGCTTGATGTCCTTTCCAAGTTGCTTTCGTTTCAGAAGTAGCAGACTGCAACTTTTCTAGTAGTCTAAGCGTGTCACCTTGCATCTGTAAAAGCTCCTCCCTTTTTAACTTCAGAACATACTCTTTTCGATAGATTACTCCCCTCTCCGCTTCTAGGATTTCTTGTTCTTCCCTGGTTGACACATAAAGGCTGGGCGCCTCTGCCTTTGTATCCTGTTGCTCTTACATTTCCAGGAGCTCGGCTGCGCCTTGCGATAGTGCACGGCTTGACTCAGTTTCTCCATTCTACTAAATTACGCTTGTTGTGCGGTATTATTCTTTCAACGGCTAAGATATCCCTTAGCTCTTATCCACTTCACTTTGTTGTATACTTTTGTAGGTCCCATTCTAAGCTGCTAGCTTATGTCGTAAGGTTCGTTCTAGCAGTGCTGTCCGAATTAGAACTCAGGTGGTTTGGCGCTAGAACTTTGGAAGCTCTACTAATTTTCGAGTAAACGAAGCGCGCGGCGCCCAATTTAGAAAGTTGTCCTCGAAGCGCGCGGTACCCGATTTGGAAGTGTTTGTCATGTAAAAGCGTCTTAGTAATACGATACGAAATGGTTGGTCGTTGAAGCGCGCGGCATCGGTCTCATAAGGACGGCGTACGCATATAGCAGAGGCTCAGCGCTTCGGTTGGTGCTACCAGAATGTCTCTGCCATAGCCTGGAATACATATAGACCATTCTGACCCTTGCTAAAATTCCGTTGTGACCTTCGTGCTCTCTGACCCTCAAAATGCCAAAAACAAGCGGCCGCAACAAGAACTACTGGACAGGCGTAAGAAACCGCCAGAATGGCATCTTTAAGAAAAGTCACACCTTTTACAAATTTTACGGATTCAATGTTGCGGTTATAATCCAGAGAACGGACGGCAAAACTTGCGCATACGAATCTTCACCAGGTTATATCACCAAACTTCCTAAGCTGCTCAGGTCGCTTGACGAGATACATAATTCCGACTGTTTCGAGACACTTGCCGAACATAAGAAACGGCAGTTAGATTCAGCTGATTCGGGTCACCCAAGTCCTTCTTCAGAGGAAGGTTCTTCCACTCCTCTAACATTGCCGGATATGCCAACTACGGCATCGCCTGGCATATTCAAGTCAACGGAATCGATACAATCAGATGAAGGCTATATAAGTCTTTCCTCTCTCTGGTCGCTCTCGGAATCACCAAATAGCGTGTTGGACAATCCATCTATCGGACTCGAGGAAAGCAGCTACACACACCAGGAACAATCAGAACCGGATATTGGCAGCAATGACGGATTTCTGGGATCTTCGCCTGAACTTTCAGACCTCCTTGCCCCTGGAGCTCCTCCTCCCTGCAATCGCAGCCAAATTCCCCTCCCCTCGACACTGCTAGGACCTCACCAGTCAACTACAGGTTCGTCCTTGGGAAGGTTAGAGGTAAGAAATACAGAAGCTTCTATAGGAGGTATTCAACTAAACATATGTACAGTCACCTCAAAATCGGATCCATACGTCCCCTATAAAGAAGTGTGTTATCGATCCAAGACTGGTTCAGATTTCGAAATCGCTATCACAGGGGCGAAAGAACTCATTGGTAGAGCTTGCAAAGAATTGTTTTGCGAGTTAGATCTTTACTACCATATTGTATAATATGTAGTTAAGGCGGATTCTCAGTTCTAACCAGAAGGCTATTGTACCCGGGCTCAAGCTTCCAACACATTAGGTTCTTCACCGATACGGGAAGCTTGACAGGTTGGGGTTTGAGCTAGAGGGCAAGTGCCTCATTATAGATTAAACGAGGAGTTCCGCTCTGGAAGCCTCGTAGTTATCTTCAACTGCGAGCAATCTAGAGCTTGAGCCGAGAGACAATACGCAATTACCACAATTGACCATTATCACGATACCAAGTAGGTATCTGCTTGTATTGTCGTGGTTGCACGAGGGGAGCAAAGGTGGCTGGCTGCGAGGCGCAGGGAAAGCACTGCATGTGGGCCCTGCGCACAGATCATAACCGCAAGCCCCACTCCAGGCTTCCAACCCTCTCTATACCTAGCCCTCATTACTATCTACAACTACACAAACGTTAGCGCAATACAAGCCCCACCTACTAACCAAATATCACGGGATTGATAGGCAGTCTTGGGTATGGTGTTGAACTGCAATAGTTGCGCAAGGAACCAGAACTGTGGGCTGTGCGCAGCTACGGGAAAACCCTGCAGGGCAGAGCTACGCACAGACCATCTCCCTACATAACGTAGCCCTAACCTGTCACGGGACTATCCCTTGACACCAAATTAAGCAGCAAGTATAGATACTTCCATTTGATAGAGAAGTCATATTAGATTTAGTACTCGATACTTTCACCCTCAGCTGCAATCACTTTCCGTAACCTGTCTGGCATCGAGTGTGCCGGCCGTAGTAAAATGTCCTCCGGAATTGCATCCCATGCCTCCTGAATAGCCGTACGGAGAGCCGCAATACTAAGTCGTTGAAGATCTGGATAGTAGTCCTCGATGTAGCTCTTCAGCCATTGCCAGAGGTTCTCTATGTGACGGGCACCACGGCAAGGTCTGGTCAGCCTGCACATACATATGATATTGCACGAAGAGAGCAAGACTACCTATCTAGCGTGTGGGCATGCGACCATGTCTTATGCAGATGCTGGCCCAGTGCAGGTTCGGTGCAAAGGTCCGGGACATGGCATATACATGACGTACGCATACGTGGCCTGCGTGGCCAGATCCATTGCTCGGATCCGTGGCCCGGATACAGGAACAGGAATCCTGTGACACTCTATGAGGTCCGGGCTTCGTGCAGGCCAGTCTAATAGCTCAAGTCCAAGTGTCGTAATGAGACGCCTCGTTGATTGAGCTATATGGGCAGCAGCATTGTCTTGTTGAAAGGCGAATTCGCAGCTGTAAGATTCCCAGAACTGCCGCACAAGTGGAAGTACATAACGCTGATATTTCTCAGCGTTTACACCCCCGTATCCCTTCTCCTAGAAGAGCCCGGGTCCCTTGTGCTGTCCAGCGAAGCAGCCCAGAACATCCAGCCGTGTGATTTTGTCCGAAGAAGTGCCCAAGTTCGAGGGTCTTCGGTGTCGTGTATAGTAATCCACCTCTTCCATATAGAGTTATTAGTAGCCCAAGTCTCATCGCTAAAGATAACCTTTTCCCAGTCCTCGAGATTAGGTCGTCGAGCCAACTGCTCATATGCGAAGGCGAGTCGTGCGGCCCGGTGCTGAGCAGTTAGTTCAATCCTGCGGGGGCGTTTCCTCCTTGAGTAACCCATCGATCGTAGGGCTTTGAAGATCGCAGTCCCTCCAAAGAGCTCAAGCCCCGGGATATAGTGCTTCAAATCGCCCCATGGGAGCTCGCGGAAGAGGTTGTCGGCTTCGGGGTAATGACGGAGAATCTCTTTCTGCGGAGTACGGATCAACGGAAGTCTGCCTACATGCCCAGATTTCTGTGCAGTGACTGGGCCGTCACAAGCCCACTGCACCTGCCGTTGAGTCGCTCCCGAGGCCCGGGCAATCGCTTGATAGGACCACTTAGCATGATTGCGTAGGGCTCGCGCCTCTATTTTCTTATCTCGCGAGAGTTCTTGGGCACGGCGCCTCGTGGATGTCGTGGCTTAGCTCGTAGGCTCTGTGAGTTGCGGCTGCCCCCGTTATATACCACCGCTATCTATGACAGGCAGCGTCTGCCCATGTTTCAAGGTCCTCTCTTTCCTAGTTGTCATGTGTCCCTGCACGTGAACTTCCAGAGGTTCTGCAAATGTACGTTTGTTCTCGCACTCAAGGCGTCATCTTTATCTGGCCCTATTTTCTAGATCTTGCTCCCTCTCGAACTTGTATCCTGGTCTGACTTGACGCGATGCACTTATTTAATCAATGCAGATAGTTGCCGTTATGTCACGGCGATTGCGTCGTGCCCGCTGGGACCCGCGGGTGGGACCCGGCATGTGGGAAGCAGGGGCCCTTGTGGGTTTGAAGATCCTGCACCTCGCTGCCGCGAGATCTGTTCGTAGCTCCTCTGCGTCTACTTCTGCTCTAAATCCCATACAAAGATAATGTTCTTAATCTACCAGAGCTAACAATTCTCTATTGGTGTAGATAACAAGCAGCGCATACTTTTATCACATTACCACTCTTTCAACATACCCTAGGAATTTTCTTCGGTCTTTCCGCATAGTGGTCGGCATCGGACTTCCTCTTCTTGCTGGTGGCTGCTTTGGCGACATTGACTGGCTGTCGTTGAGGGAGGTCGGAAACTGACGGGGGAGGCACTGCTCTCACTGCTGTGGACCTTGCACAAGGTTTAGTCTCAAATGTGCTAGCTTCTGTCCCACTCGTCGAATCAACGTCCCGAGTCCCGAGGGACGAACGCCAAGGGGGAAAAGACGTATGCCTAAACCGAAAATCCAGATTCGTGGGGCCAAGCTGAAGAGTGACCGTGTGTTGGGTAGATCTAACAACGAGGAGTTCGGTGCTAATGGTGTGCCAGGGAGACCTCTCCTTGCCGAAGTAGATTCCCGTGGAAAAGACTACTAGGACTCGATCATAGTCTAAATCTTCAACGAGATCCGGACTTCTCGACGTAGTGTGAATAGGGAACCACTCTTCCACGCGCCCATCGCGGTCCGTATAGCCTTCGAATTGATTGACAGTTTCATCGTCTGCGAAACACTCAATGCGGACGCGCATCCCCATCATCCCAATGCTGCGAGCGTCCAATACTTGACAAATGAGTGGAGCCATGTGGAAAGCCGATTAGATCAGTCAATAACATGTAAAATAAGAACGAACTGAATGATAAAAAGGCCGAAAGCAAGGACAACTTTTTGCGTAGTTATATATAGATATCTAACTTCATATTAGAGGACACTATTATTATCGAGAAATAGCTTTAGGGTAAGCTTTTATCTGAGCGCGGGTACAGTCACTTGCGAAATCGGCTTCCGCTTTTCACATTCTTGTTTAATGTCTGAAGGCTGCTTTTTAGGCCTCTTAGCGCTTACACCGTACTTGTTCCTGTGGGGAATGCGCTCCTCAGTGGTTGTTGGGGTGTGGGTCCAATGCCCACTTACCTCTGACACTGAACTCCTCATTGCGAAAGCTCTTCCAGCTCCTCTTTTCTCCTCATCTTACGATTAGCGAAATTGATCTCTCCGTCGCGCGTAAGAGGTTTTGAATAGCGTAAGCTCCGAAGAACTGGGTCGAGAGGCCGGACTTGGCCTTGTGTTTGAAGACGGTAAAATCGCTGGGCTATAGGCGAAGCATGGAGATCTTTGTTGTGGTTGATCAGGGCGCTGATTTGCATCGCTTGGTTGAATGCGATCGACTTGCCCGTGGCTGGCTGGTTTGCACTGCGTCGATGCGAAGGACTCGGCTGTTTGGGCTGCAGTTTACACTTAGATGTATTTTCCAATAGAAACTGCTGAAAAGTGACAAGAGTGGCGAATTGCGTCTGCTGCGGTCCGGATCTGGGCTTTGGTATAGCCAGTGATACTGTGGATCTTAGCTTGGCTTTTGCTGGCATCGAAATAAAAAACCCGAACTCGCTGGCGTTCCTCGGTAGTAAGCTGTTTGGTACCGCTGGATCCCTGTGGCCGTGCCATCGTGCTGTTGTGAGTTGTTGAAACTAAGAGTTGCTTTGAAGAGGGACCACAGTAAAGTGGGAAGTTTGGGTGTGTTCAGCCGATTGGCCAAAACGCGTCAGCTTGTTATGCCTCACAGGTACCTGACATGCATGGGACTACAGTATTATATGTGATACTTTGTTCCATCGTATTACGTTACGATATTTCGCAGGCCTTAGGTAAGCTAGTTCGGCCCATGCGTAATAGTTAGTTGCCCTTTCGGGTTATCCGCCGGGCGTCAATCAATTGTATTGTATTAGACATTTGACCGTGGGAACTGTGAGAGACGAGCAATGCGTAGGCGAGGCACAAGGGCGCTGCAAGTACTACTCGCAAGCACTGCAAGTGGGACTACTCGAAATAACTCAGGCCACTGGCAAGACTGTCAATCAAGTGCAAGATGCCGTGACTGGGCCTCTCACCCCACAGAAGAACCGCTGTGGTCGCAAGCCCGTCCTCAAGAGTCCCGAGAAAACCTCCCTTATCAAATTCCTCAGTGCCGACCCTCTCCAGCGCAGGCTTCCATGGGCTGATTTACGGCATTACATACCTGATTTTGAGCTCTACGGGAGTATGCCATCTGCATTACGGTCCATCGGCTATACAAGGATCATACGACCACGGCGAATTTCTACCATCCAGATCGTTACAAGGCCAACCGCCTTGCCTTCGCATATGAGCAATTGTCATTGCGTCCTCGCCCTGAGGACTGGAACGAGTGCTCATTTCTGACGAAACGTGGGCCACCGACGGCCCAATGTGGAAGCAATGGATTACGATCCACGATACAGAGGATATAGAGACGTGGGCGCTAATCAGAACCAAGCCCCATGGCTGGATGTTTTGGGGATCTTTTACGGGAGGGATCAAAGGTCCTTCGTTTTTCTGGGAGAAGGAGTACGGCGGTATCACTGCTGAGAAGTATCAGCAGTTTATTACCCCTTTGGTCCATACATTTTGTGAGGAAAATGGGGCCACGGTTTTCCAACAAGATACCGCTGCCTCCCACTCAACCCGAGCAACGAGGTGGCTGCTTGCAGTGTTTGGAATCGAGGTTATTGCATGGCCAGCTCGAAGCCCAGATTTCAGCCCTATTGAAGATGTGTGGGCTTGGATGAAAATCTGGACTGAGGAACACTATGATATTCAGGGTCTTTCGAGTGCGAGGCTTAAGCAAGTTGTTCAAGAGGCTTGGGATGCCGCGCCTCCTGATTTTCTTCGCAGACTTGCGCACTCAAAGCCCCAACGGCACCAACTTAGGTGCTTACTGTAAGATACACCATCTCACTTGCTTCTCGCTAGGTTATTTCCAGCTTCCATTACATCTAAGCGCTGAGGGCTCTCCATTTAGTAACGTCGTCAGCGTCTCTTTATGTAGTTTTCAGAATTCCGAAAAAGAAGACTTATTCCGCTAATGCTACTATCACTTTTAGATTTTAAGACCTTCCATTCTTTCAATCATCCACAGCAGACCAATATAAATTCAGACGCACTCTCATCATTCTAATTAGATACACTCATAACGCATTTGTTCGAGATTCAGCGAACAATTTCAAAATGGGCCAAAAGAAGAGAAATCACCTTAGGAAGTCCTCGGAGGAAAAAGAAAAGTTCGTCAAATCCGAGAACGACGAAAAGCAATCGAGGGCCAAAAAGGATAAAAAAGGGTCATCGAAAGCTCCAACTGCCAAATCCGAAAAAGCCACAAAGAATAAAGAAAACTCATCGAAGGCTGAAAATGAAGAGATAGAGGTCTGGCAAGCGCCACAAGATGTTGGCAGGTCACCATTTGATGGTGATACAGATATGAAAGAAGCTGGCAAAGAAAATAACGACGGTTCCGATGACGATCCAGAAGGTAGTTCCTATGACGGTTCCGATGCCGGCTCCGATGCCGGCTCCGATGCCGGCTCCGATAATGGCTCCGATGACAGCTCTAATGATACCTCTCCCAGCTCAGATAGTGAGAGAGGTAGACGTGACGGTAAAGCTGGCGGTAACAAGGCGCGGATGGATTTCGGAAGAGCGACCACGGAGGAAAGGGACTTGTACCCAATAGAACAACAGGAGAACCGGAAACCGTCGGGAAAGCGCAAAAACCACATTACGTTGGTTGGAGATCCTGAATTGCAAACACGAGAGGAAACCCTTGCTAGGATCGTCGGTATCACACCATTAGGAATGATCTGGGTTGGGCTTCCAAGCCTGAATAAGAATAACCCCGATGTCGAGAGAGGCTACCATATAAAGGGGACAGACTATTCCAAGGAAAAAGCCGAGTATATCGCAAATGGCGGCCTAAAATTTGTTCCAGGAGACGAGAAACTCCTTATCGGTTGCACCCTGGAAAAACTCATCGTGAACAGCGTTGCTTATGACTTGCAAGGTCGGTTTGGTGCAGCCCTCGTAAAACCTCCATGGTCTGCTCACCTTCACTACTTCTGTAAGAGTGCCTTAGACAGACGATTTGGCCGGAGACATATAGACGCCCTTTTTAGATTGAAGCAAGAAGAATGTGGTCAAAAACACAAGGTGGACCGAAAGGCCACAGTTGAAGATATACTTAGGGATTTACAGAATTTGCACGTTAATGTTAAGGAGGAGGAATGGTAAAGTAGGAGATTTCGGTTTAGCACGTCACTTAGGGCTTATTTGCAAGGTATTTCCTATTCTTAGAACTATAACGGATATAATAATATAGTTAGGAGAGAGTATTGCCCTATAACGTACATGATAAGCGAACGTCCCAGACAAGCGAACGTCCCACAAAAACACATCTGCACAACATATTTCAACATGATTCAACCAACACTGACAAAAATGATTGAAATTACTCGGAATGGTCTTCCTCGGGCACTTTTGCAACTCCTTGACAGGTGCGTGCATTATGGCCAGGCTCGCCGCATCTGCCACAACGCCGCGTGCGCGTCTCGATCCTCGGCTTCCGACCACTACCCGTCTGCGTTTCCTCCCGTATCTGCACCGCAACATCTCTCTGGGCTTGCAAATCCTGTCCATCCTGCACAGTAAGCGATCCTCCTTGCCGTAACCTTTTTTTTTTTTACTCTCCAGCGTTTGCTTAGCGCCTCAATTACTGCTCGAAAGCTTTGGTTCTCTGCCTTCAACAATGCAAACTGATGCATTATCCTCGACGTCCCTTTCGCAAGTACATTTGCGGTTCTCTGGCTGCCTTGTCTTCCGTTTACCACGCCGTTCGGTGCCCGTAACAACTAGTACCGTCGAGATAACGCCCATCAAAAACCCAATCTCATCAAAGTTGTAGATATCTGCCTCTTAGATCCCGTACTTCGCGATTGTGTTCCGTACAAGCGCGAACCAGCCACGAATGATATCTGGATCTTCGCATAGGGCCCTCTGGTAGTCGTATTTCCGATTGAATCGGATCGTGAGGTCTGGTTGTCATTTAACGAAGTTGTGCGCCCAGCGCGTCCCGCGTCGCGTTCGGCAAGTAGTCGATTGGCCATATCTTCCACACTAGACAAGCGGGGAGGAAATCCCTTAGAATCCAGATCGAGGACATACTGAACAATAACCGATTTTCCAGTTCGGTCAATTTGCGCGAGTTAGCTGGAATGTCGCTTCGTGAATGTTTACCGCGTCTTCGGCGACTGAGCTTCGCGTAGTCCACAGAATAGATCCTAGCTGCAGCTCTTAGGCTTAGTTTCGGATCGTTCTGAATTGCTTGAAGGGCTGCTTGCACTTGGGCTTTGTCTTTTTTTAGGGGCACGTTGCGTTGTGAAGGAAAGTAGATAAAAAGATGGAAGGTACGAAGGAGTGAGTTTGTGGGACGTTCGCTTGTCTGGGACGTTCGCTTATCATGTACGTTAACGTATCTTATAAGCGAGTGACCCCTATAACCGAATGACCCACTCCCACCCCCCCCCGACACCATAACAACTATCCTCAAATATACCGCAACAATACTAAGAACTAACTACAATTACATCGGAAGCAGGTGTCACGGCACACAACGTGCAGCCATACCGTTGCGCCATGTTTCCGTAAAAGGGTACAAATGATTCAATCCGACAGATCGAACCACTGGCTGCACTATGAAGCTGTCTTTTGCACCTGTCGCCGGGCTGTAACCAACCCGACCAGCCGTGCCGTGACAGCAGGTGCGTCAGACAATTGTTCTTGCGCCACCTCTCCACCCATGGCGGTCTGGTCAAGTAGATCCTTTGCATCTTGTACCGCAAGTGATCCTCCAAGCCGTACACGTGTTCTTTTTGCTCTCCGGCGCTTACTTAGTGCCTCGTTGGCCTTACGAAGCGAAGAGACCTCTGACTGAAGGAGGGTCATCTGGTGCATCACAGCCATCGTACCCTTGGCAAGCTGGTCCATAGCAGCCAACATTGACGTTGGAGAGCTATTTTGATGATTGGCGATGCGAGTGTTGAGGAGCGTTGACTGCGAGTTGGTTTCTCGGGGGTTGTGTGGCGTCTGGAACACCCAAGGTTGTGGAGTGCTGGCCCGCGAGTTCAGGGGTGTTGGTGTATGGAGCCTCACATCCAGCTTGGAAAGCACCCTCTCTGGATTGTACGGCACAAGGCCAGCACCTGCAAAGCCACCCCGTATAATGCGCCAGTCGGCTGGGAGGTTGCACTCGGTGTACCAGTTGGCGAGGTGGTATTGCGCAGCCAAGATGATGAAGGGAGGGGTGGCCCAGCCGAGAGCATTGACTCCTTGGATCACGGTTGCCCATTCGCGGTTACCAGGCTGGGCCAGCTTTGCCTTGGTACGGCCATCCGAGGTCGTGACCACCATGCCCGCGAAGATGATGCCCATCATAAACCCGGTCTCGTCGAAGTTGTAGATATCGTCATCCACGATACCGTACTTGGCCTTGACGTTCTGTACGAGTGTAAACCACTCTCCAATGACCTTTGGATCCTCGCACTTAGCCCTCTGGTAGTCGTACTTGCGCGAACAGCGCGTTTGGAGCTCTGGCTAGCGTTTGACGAAGTTGTGTGCCCAGAGCTTGCCGACAGGGGGCGCGTCGCGTACGCGTAGCAGTTGGTTGGCCATATCTTCTACACCACGCAGCCTCGGTGGGAAAGCTCGTGCACATAGCTCAGTAATGTATTGAACAATAGCATTCTCTTCGAAATCGGTAAGCCGGCGCGAGTTGGGCGTAGTATCGCATCGTGCAGGCTTGCCGGCGCGTCGGCGCGCTAGGGTTCTACGGTTGACCCCATAAATCTTGGCTGCAGCTCTCTCGCTTAGTTTTTCATCATTTTCGAGAGCTTCGAGGGCTAAGATCAGCCGAGCTTCTTTTAAAGTAGTGGGCATCTTGAATGGTAGGGAAAATGTGTTGTTGAGTGCAGAGGTGTCGCGTGGCCGGGGGGGTGGGTCATTCGGTTATATGGGTCACTCGCTTATAAGATACGTTACCTCTAATGTATCGCAATACTCTAGCGTCAAAAATACAACAGCCTCCAGCCACAACACAGCCTCCAAATTTAAATCTGGCAAAGGGAACGTGCTCAGCGCATTCAATTGGGCCTATCTGCGATGTCGCAGCAAGGGCGCGACGAGCGCGCGGTGCGCAACTCGATGGATGTTGACAAAACGATGGGCGCGACGGACTGTCAACACGGCTCACGTGCCAACCGCGGCAAGCGGGCCCGAGGGGACAAAGCCCCAACGACAGGCGGGAAAGCTTCGCTTGAGCAAACTGCAAGCAAAGAAGACGTAGAAACGAAGAGATTGCTCGAAGAATTCCGTGCCTTGGTGACACTGACGCTGTGGGAATGCGTGCAGACGGCGGCGTGCGCGTACTACAGCAAAATTTTCAAGGTGGAGAAGGCGACCTGCGCATGCAACGCGCAAGAGCTACAAAAGAGCGTTGCCTTTTATAGCCACGTGAGCCGGATACTGTGCTTCTCAACACCACGAGGTTCAGTTTTTTTCTCGATGCTATTTCCTTAAGACATGTTCCTCTCCTTTCCAGGAAACGGCTGGAAGATCTTCGATGGTTGCTCTAGGTGGATCTTTGCTGCATCGCGAGCTTGGTTGGCAAGTGGCGGGCTACTCTGACCTCGTCCTAGACTGCCGGTGGAATGAAGTTTCTCGTACTAGCTACCATTCTCGCCATGATGATGTGGAACCTGGAGCGCTACGGCACCGTTAGATAACACCGCAAGCAAACTCACAGCTGTACTGTCTCTGTGGTATCTTATGCCAATTGTCGAGACTGCTAGGTGGAGATATGGCAAACTCGGTTTCACCGAAGGAATTATCTCCTGGCGGAAAGTCTTGCAATACCGTGCCTATAACTAACTCGGAATCACAGTTCCTTTTAGTTCTCGACCCCGAAGACTTTTCACTTCCTCTTTATGTTTATCTTTCACATCGCTATTGCTATTAACGTTACGTCATTCTACTTAAAGTCATTGCAATGGTTAAAATTCTTCATTACACAATAGATTCCCAATTTTCTAAACTTATTGAAGAACTGTTTCCTGACGCAAGGCTGACTATCTCTCTAGACCTTCCCTTCGCTCCCTGCTGAGGAACTCGCATCCCTAGCGGCTCGAACTCCGTCTCGATGAACCGAATAGCTCGCTTGGTATTTACGACCTCCTCTCGAATCATCCGGATGAACGCCGAATCGCCACACCCTGTCTGTATTAGCAAATACGGCAATGAGGGAAGCATAGAAACTCTTAGGAAAACCGGGAATGAGGGCGTATAAGCACTAACCGATAACAGCGACTTTCCCGGGCGATCGAGTCTCCAGTTGAATTTTATCACGGACGAGCTTATCGAAGCTCGCCAGTCCTGGTCTGGGGTATAAACAAGAGAAGTGGCTCGACTCTTTGAATGGTGTCGTTCCGGTAGGCGGGGATGGAATCATACACAGGAAGACAAGGAGTGTCTAGAGGATTAATATATCGGACAGTACAATTTGGTTAAGGACTCACATGCAGGGGATCCAGTCTCTTTAGTGCCTCAATCTCGTTCGCAACCCAAATTCCCTGAGAATTATCGTCCAGAATCCAGAAAACGTCTAACTGCCGAGTAGAGTCGCAGAAGAGCGGCTTTGCTATCCATAGGTCTTTTCGCGCATGCAACACACTCCTCTTCCCATTTAGCAAGTCTCTCTCTGCGTTGACAAGTTCCTTCTCCTTCGCTAGCAGCTTAGCGTTTTTGATATCCAGCCGTTTTTCATCCTTCACACGTTGTCTTCCAGAAGTAGTAGACTGCAACTTTTCTGCCAGTTCAAACGCTCCAGAGTACATCTTTAAGAGGTCCCACTTTAGCTTCAGAACACCCTTTTCCAGTTGATATACTCCCCTCTCCGCTTCTAGGATTTCTTGCTCTTCCCTGGTTGACGCATTAAGGTTGAGTGCCTCTGCCTTTGTACCCAGCTGATCCTCCATTTCCTGGAGCTCCAGTACGCGCTGCGATAGTGCATCGCTTGACTCAGGCAGTTGAGCATTCCAGCCAGGCCGAGAGAGCTTCCTTTTCCTCTCTATTAGACTGCGCTTATCGACTGGTAAGGTTTTTTCGGCGGCTGCGATATCCCTCAGCTCTCCCCTGATTCGGTCGTCGTATGCTTTTCGTAATGCGATACAAAATGCGTGTTGTAGCACTCCCAGAATTCCGATACCCTTTGCTACGAGGATGACGTTTTCGTAGGACTCCAACCGGAGATTATGTCCATAAGGGCCATGAAGTAGTATCCATTGCCCTTTGCTTAGTCGGTCAAGCCGTTCCGTATGCCTGCTTCGGGATATGATGAACGAGATGTCTTGGACATTTTCGATTCCCTGTATAGAACGTGAGTTTTCCGTTTGCTTCCACAATGCTAACGCAGGGTAGCTGCTAAAGAAGTGATAGCGAAAGATCGAGCCTGGGAGGAAGATATGAAAATACCCTCCAGGGAGCACGTGGACAGGACGTTCGGTGTGCACTTCGAAGCCAACTACTCTGTCATCTAACCACACCCCGCCAACACTGGCTCTTATACCGTAGGCGTAGACCATCGCCCATCGGTAAGTTGCCGCCAGCACCCACAGTCCGCCCGCCGAAGAGACAAGTATTCTTGCTTCAGTGGAAGCTAGAAGAAAAACATGCCACAAGGTGAGTGCCACTGCAGTAAGTGCAAGAGCAAGGTGAGCAATCTGGAACCAGTCCCCGAGACGGCGTTGTAGAAATGGAATCGAGAATATAAAAAGAACAAGAAATAATGACAGGCTCTATAACTCATTAGCTCCCGGCATGCCATCTGTCATTTGCCACCTACAAGGTATCCAGATGTCGGTAATTGTCCTGGGATAGGGCGCAAGGCAATAGCTAAAACTGCGTGAAGAAGAACCTCTACGACAACAACTCGCCCAACCCAGAAATGTGCAAAGTAGTATAACGATAGAGGAATGCCGACTAGATCAGCGAGACGATTCGCTAGACCTCCTAGATACAAGGGGATCATATTGATTAGAGCAAGCCTAGCGGCCCGCTGCTCGAAGCCTCTGACATCGGTAGCGGGAAGTCCTAGCGCTAGAGCTAAGCTGTTGGCTCCAAAGTATAACAGTAGGGCGAGCAACTCCAGCCGGGTTATTGCAACCCAACGAGGGAGCGCTGCATACCGGATTTTCCGAGCAAAAAGAACTTTCAGGTACGGTACCGAAGATCTGCCAGAGGATAACCAAAAGCCCCGAAAACTCAAGGAGAGTAGTATTCCACAGATAAACAAAATGTAGTACTGTGTGGATTCCATTATGAGCTGCTGGGCTCTCATCGCAAAGTTTCCTGGTCCTTAGCATATAAGTACCTAACCCTAAGTACTCTTCGAATCGAAATTTAGGCAGCTTTGGCGCCAGAACTTGGAAGCTCCATATTTATTTTTAAGGAAGCGCGCGGCACCCGATTCGGAAGGTATTTGCACTAAAGAGGGCGCGTGGAAACGAGAAGTTTGAGAAAGGCGGTCTGAGAACCAGAACGAAGATCTCGTTTAATGACCACCGTTTATTTGCGATGTATACGCAAGTGCGGCGCTTCGGCTCGTAGGAACAAGATCAACATTGGCTGGCATAACACTCGTCGTCACCCCAACGCAACGTCTATTAGACCAGCACTCTCCAATGCCTATAATGCACGCCTGTTCGAATCATAGTAGCTCGTCCACGCTTCTAAGTGACGAGGGTCAATCTTTTGACGGGTGTTCAGAGAGTGGATCCGACGTAGGGTAAGTTGTACCAAGCATTTATATTTGCCGCTTATTTATGGCATGGGCTAGATTTGCGGCGAGATACGAATACTGGACCATATCCTATCGCTGGGCTAGTCTCCGAATTCTCAAGGGCTCGGTATCACTATCGATGGAGCTAAGAGACTCACAGATTGCTCATGTGAGGAATCTCCACATTAGCCAAGCTCTTCTTGCATCAATCCGTGATGAATCGAAAAGGCGTGGACGGTTCTATACTCAGATGCTTGCATTCCGTATACGCTTACTTCCTCGGAAGGTTCGAGGGATAATAAGTGGCCTCCTTGATCGGGAAAATCAAACTTGGAACGTTGTGGCGCTATCGCGAAAGTTAAGTAAAGAGACAGCGGACAAACGGCCAGGGTCGTGGGGGCATGTCAAACAGTACCAGGTAGTGCTACGCGGCACTTGATTCGAAATGTACTTGCATTTCCAGGATTTTTATTCATTTTGGTAGTGAGATCAGTATTTCACGTGCTATAAGGCATCTGAAAATTCACGAAAATGACTCCTGAACGTCGTGCTGGGATTGTGCCACTATACCTTAACCGGCCAAGCCACTAATCACGTTGGCTGTGTACAAGCAGTTTGGATCTGCCGATATGTATAAGGCGTAATCCGGAAAATGTCTTCGTAACTGAGATGGGCAAACTCGCGTAAGGCTCGGATTCCAACTCTCTGATCACGAGTGAGATTGGTAAATTTGGGCCGCTTTGGTGTGGATGGATTGAGTAAGTCCTCTATTGCAAGGCCTCGGCTAGCCATCGTCATCGTCGTTGGTAAGCTCAGCTGTAGGTTGGTAGACATTGCTGCATTCCTGTAGATTTAAAGATAAGTATTCTCCCATGGAAGTTGCTAGAGAAGTGACTTTAGTAATAAATTTCAGTGGGATGTGAGGTGTTTCGCTACACCTCCCCCAGGGTAATAAAAGTTAGCGTATGACTTGACCCACACACTAAGCCAGAACAGAAAACCAGACAAGTCAAGATACATCTCAGGCCCATACATTGTACACTACAGTAGAAGTATCAGTACCCTATACGTTCTCCCTCCATTTCAATAACCTTTTGAATGGGCTAAGGTTTGAAGAAAATCAGTGGGCACAGCATCCCATGCCTCCTGAACAGCCTGCCGGAGCTGCGCGCGGCTCAGGCTCTGTATATCGTAATGCTGTTCAATCCACTCTTTCATCCATGCCCATACATTTTCAATAGCATTCAAATCAGGGCTTCGAGCCGGCCACCCAACAACCTCGATTCCAAGTGCGGCCAGGAGACGCCGAGTTGATCGGGCGGAATGGGCTGACGCGTTATCCTGTTGAAACACCAGATCCCCTTGTTCCTCACAAAACGTATGGATCAACGGAACGATAAACCGTTGATACTTTTCAGCCGTGATACCACCGTGCTCCTTTTCCCACACAAAGCAAGGACCTTTGATGCCGCCCGCGAAACTACCCCAGAACATCCAGCCATGGAGCTTCTGTCGAATCAATGCCCACGCCTCCAAATCCTCGACGTCGTGGATTGTGATCCACCGTTTCCACATATGGCTATTTGTAGCCCACGTTTCGTCAGAAAAGAGCACTTTTTCCCAATCTCCCGGGCGTGGCCGTAAGTAAAGTTGTTCATATGCGAAGGCAAGCCGGTCAGCCTTGTGGCGGTCAGTGAGACGGATCATCCGAGGTCGTATAACCCTCTTCCAGCCAAGAGATCGCAAAGCAGTCGTGATTGGTTGCTCTCCGTAGAGCTCAAAACCAGGGATATAGTACCGCAAATCGTGCCATGGAAGCTTGCGGATGAGCGGGTCTGCACGGAGAAATTCGACGAGGGCATCCTTCTCGGGGGTCTTGATGGCAGGCTTGCGGCCACGTCTATTTTTCTTGGGGGTCAATGGGTTGCGAATGGCGAGTTGCACTTGCCTAACTGTAGTGCCTGTTGCGGCCGCAATAGTTGGATAATCCCAGCCATTGAATTGACGGAGGGTACGTATTTCGATCTTCTTATCGCGCGTTAGTTCCTGGGCCCTGTTGGCCTTCTGGAACCAGTGCCGTTCGCGATGACCAGCCTGTTGAAGCTGCAGTCGATAAAACTGTTCTGCAGAGGGCGAACTGTAGATGCAATTGTCGGTGTTGTTGTTGACGAGGGCTTGGATGTCCATGGCCCTGCGAAGGTGGGTACGAGGGTGGAATGCAGGTGCAGGATTCTGGTGGGGCATTGCGAGGACTTTTTAAGAAAGTCACTTTTCTATAGAAACTACTAGAAAAGCGACCTATCTCTGGAGAATTCGTCAGTGGCTTCAAAAAATGGGTTAGCGGGTGGGGTAATTCACACACTAACTTTTATTACCCCGGGGGAGGTGTAGACCCTTGTCAACCACCCTTGCCAATTCACTGCGCTAGCAATACTAACCCCGGCGGAGGTGTACTAGCCAGCGAGTACGACGGTGGGTCTTCCGTCAAGATGGGGACCGTAAGCCTGGTTGCAGGCCTGTGTTGACATCGTTGGCATCATCGCGGTGGGACTAATTCTAATTCTTATGTTTCAATTTACCGCTCAAATCAGTGTCCCTTTATAGACTTTGGTCCATCTAAAGGCAACACTCTTCGTCCCTGTCTTAGTTCAACGACGCCTGCGCATGTATCGAAACTCCTTGTCGCTGAGACCCCATTGGCTCGTTCTAAGCCACTGAGCTGTGGTAATGTTGGGCAGATTTTATTGGTAGCCTTCCATAGTCCGCCCCTACTCGCCGCACGGATTTCAACATCTTCAAGCGCGGCGTCATTGCAGGAGGTCGGAAATACGAAAACACCAATGGGAGAGTTGATCAAGATTGGGAAATAGGCCCTGCCAGTTCCATAACACAGTGCAATAGAGGATCGTCTGCCTGCAGTTCGCTCGCTATATCGGTGACATCGACAACAGTCTCAGTCATGCCGACGCCGCTGTCTAGGAGTAGAGACCATATCGGAGTAGCGCTCGCGCCAAAGAAGCTAAGCGACCCCAAGGCAAAGCTCTTTCGGCACCGCTTACTGCATCACCCGCAGCACATGCAAAGTAGGGCCAATTCGCAAGCAGATGCTTTTGCAAAGGCTGACGGTCATCTTGTCGATCCAGACTACGAAGCAGCTGGTTCAGCTCCTCGAGGCTAAAGCTGAGGACGTTTTGCTTGATGTCCTCAATCCTGCCTATGAAGACGTCATCCTCGTTGAAAGCGACATCGCGAGTTCGAATAGTCTGCTATTGCGGGTAAGCATTGGTGTTCCAGATCGTGTACACATTGGTGGACGTGTACTTTAGCAGGTACCCAATCTATGCCCGTCTATTGAACCGCTTGAGCTTCTCTTCACCCTTTTGAGCCCGATATCATAACAAATGCCTTACACCCGAACACTCGGTGGTGTGAGAGGTCTGGCTTGCGGCCGTGAAACACTTGGTATAGAGTCTTCCAACCGATTATTTTGCGAGGAGTACGATCTTCAACAGCAAGAATGCTATTTTGCCTATCACCTTCCAGCACTGCTGGACCCATCGCGCGCATTGCGTTCTTGACTACACCCCCCTCGAGCGTCATTCTGCTGCGGCGTGCAGGCCGACGAAGCCTCGAGTTTAATGCCTCAGCCACAAACTTTCAGCCTTGACCCCACCCATTACTCCGACAACCACTGAAGGGTAAATAAATACCCCTGAATTTCTGAGCCCCCGAGCACCCAAGTCTCCAAACCAGTTCGACGATGGAAACCCCTTCTTCAGTCTCGCTCCGTTCAGGGTCCCCTGGTCGTCTCAGCACAACTTTGCCATCCTTCCCTCCGCCAAATTCGGAAGCCACTGATTTTCCTGATGTTTCGGAGCCCCTTTGCGAGGCTGATCGGCGCCAGATCACGCGGGTTGAGACCGCAGCCGTGCAGTGGCCCAGCACGAGACACTATTCCGCTTGTGCACAGGTGGCACAGGTGGCTATTTCGACTCGTGTCTCGGAGCCAACTGGAGCTTAGGCAGTCCTCTTCGGTCCGCTTCGAGCATCGGCCACAGGCGAGGTTCCCAGGCTGCCACACGGGCGATTTTCTGCAACGGGGATGTGAACCGCACGGTCGTCCGGATTTTCTCCAGGTCAAGGGGATACGTTCCGGGCAGTGTATGGATGTTGATCAAAAGCCTGACTACCGCCCGGGCGTGTCGTTCTCGGATGTGATGAATTCTTGTTTCGGCTTCTGCTACGGCTGCTGCTACGGTTCGGAAGGCTCCCGTGATGGCCAGGGCCCCGATCTTCTGCGCCCTGTTCAGCCAGCTCAGTGTCCTTTCCCCGCAGGCATGCTTCCAGATACTGGCAGCCTAGTCCATGACGGGAGCTATTGTCGCAACGAACAGTTGTCTCGCTGTCCGCGGGGAGAGCATCTTCAGCCTCCTCAGGGCCAGCGCGGCTTCGACGTCCTTGGCCGCCGTTCTAGCAAAGTGCTGCTTGTAACGGACTTCGCAGTCCATCACGCCGCCTAGAATTTTCGCACTCTCCTTCGGTTGGACCGTCTCCTCTTTGGCTAAACGGCGTGTCTGAGGATCGCTCCTTGTTCCTCGTGAAGGATACGTTGGCTGTCTTTTCGCCTTTGAATTGGACGCCTCTTCACCTTTCCCAATACAAGGCCCTGTCAATGATAGCTTGAATGCCTGCTCGATTCGCCTCTGCTGTTGGGCCTACGACCCAGGCCGTGTAGTCGTCAACAAGGGCGATTGAGCCTCCGTTGGCGTTGATTTTGTGTTGTACCAGGTCTGTGTTGAAGAAGAGGAAGAGTACCGGGGACAGTGGTGACCCTTGTGGCAGACCTGCCTGGGGCAGCTCTTGCCGTTCAGACGTGAACCCATTTACCACCACAGTTGCCGTGCGCTTAGAGCAGAAGGCATCGATCCACCTGACCGATCCTCCGCCTCCAAAAGCACCTGTAGCCGTGACTTCCCCGCTCGATCCGGCCGTTGACTCCATACCCGGTTCCCACCGCGGGTGTTCCTCTCGACGCGACGGTCCGCGTAACCTCGCTCGTAGTCGTCTTTGCCACGGTGGCTGCGTCTTCGATCGATTGCATCGCTTCGCGAACTTTCGCACTGTTTCAATGTGCGGCTCGGTCGCTTCGGCGAGGGTGGTCGGTCGGCCACCTCGACCGCGATCTGGGTCCTGCGCCGACGCTGTCATGGAGGCAGTCCCACCAATTGCTTCTGAGTTAGCACCCGATAACTTTTTTCGGGTTGAGACCGTACGTACTGTATGCATTGGTTTGCAGGGTGCCACCCTGTGGTCAAAAAAACTGATACACCAAAAACCGGTTTCGGCCAGAACCCCTGGCCCCACTCATCGCAACATGCATCATCATGGCACTTCCTCCTTTCCACCACCAATTTCCTTAGCAGAAATGGGCGTCGCACATCATACAACACCGAAGAAGTGTCAGATTCAGGGCACAGTCCATTTTCTTCGTTCTACTGGCCAACTTGGCCAAGGGAGGCTCTTTGCTAAGGAGCAGGTCTTTCGACACTACAACGTCAGCCATGCCACTGGGCATCGTATCCTCCGAGAGGCACAAGATCATCCTACCCTCGAACCACGAACCTTCCATTCAAACTACATTGAAACCCGTGGACGGAAGAAGAAGCTCGACCATCAAGCTCTCCTACAAATTGAGAGATGCATCGATCAAGGAGGTTTTGACGGCCGGACTGTCCCATGGGAAGCCATTCCAAGTGCTGCAGGCCTCGACATTGAAGTGTCTGCTCGAACCGTTCGCCGCGCGCTCCGAGAGCTGAACTTTCGTCGATGTATTGCTTGCGAGAAGGAGTACCGCTCCCAACAATCCAAGGATACTCGGGTGGAATATAGCCGTGTGATGTTGGAGAGATACCCGGAGCCAAAAGATTGGTACCGGGTAAGATTCTCTGATGAATGTCACTTTGGCTGGGGTCCCGAGGGCAAGATCTGGGTGTTACGGCGGCCCTGGGAGAGGTTTTGCCCTGACTGTATGGTCGAAAAGCAAGCCCCGGCTGAGAAGAATCTTCAAGAGCTCCATTGTTGGGCTGCCGTTGGCCATGACTTCAAGAGCCCCTTAGTCTGGTATGACGTGCCTAGCAACAACAATGGTAAGCTGACGATGCAAGCCTACCGGGACCAGATTCTCGAGCCAGTGGTGGGCTCTTGGCTTCGGGCGGGCCATTCTTTCGTGTTGGAGGAAGACAACGACTCTGGGCATGGCGGCAGAAAGCGGTGCAACAACATTGTCAACCGATGGAAGGAGGAAAATGGGCTTGAGAGCTATTTCAACTGCCCGTTGAGCCCAGATTTCGTGCCCATTGAAAGAGCTTGGCAGTTGCCCAAGCAATACGTAAGAAAACGGCCTTGTTGGGAGGATTCAATTGTAAAAGAGCTTGCAGAGGAGGGTTGGGATGCTCTCAAACAGAATTCCATCAACGATTGGGTAAACCAAATCCCCCAGATCTTGAAGGACTGTATAGAAATGGAAGGAGCCTTAACAGGGCATTAGATTGCATCTGAAAGTATTGAAATTGGCCGCGTTTTGACCGAGTTGTGGTGCAAAGTGGTGTTGGTGGTAAGGTTTGGTGTATCAGTTTTTTTGACCACAGGGGTGGCTGCCACCGCGCTGTGTTCATCTAGACCCACTGAAGTGGTGCACCGCCACCACCTAAGTGGGTCCGCTGCTGCCTTGGCAACACTTCAACCTCCTTCACAGACGCGAAAGGGCAAAAATATAGGGACGATAGCCCATTTCCCTGCTGTACGCGGTGACGTTCCTCGATGTCCTTCAAACTCGTCCGGAGAATGGGCCTACAAAGTAGATATAGACAAGCTAGGAGAGTTCGGTGATGTTAGTGGGCTGATTTGGTGCATATATAGTTTGGCTGGCCCGCACTGCGCACACTACAGGGATCTAGGTGTGACGGCGCGTGCCACCATGCCACTGCACTAACCTCCTCAAAAGGATGCCAGAAATTCAAGTCCAGCGGCTTGAAACTCTGAGGTGGCTTACGTACTGTTGACGGCAGGCCCCACTGCCGTCACATTAAGAATGTAATCCGACATATCCGATAACTACAATATAGCCACTACACTAAAGAGGAGTCGTGTCACGGCACGGCTGGTCGGGTTGGTTACAGCCCGGCGACAGGTGCAAAAGACAGCTTCATAGTGCAGCCAGTGGTTCGATCTGTCGGATTGAATCATTTGTACCCTTTTACGGGAACATGGCGCAACGGTATGGCTGCACGTTGTGTGCCGTGACAAGTCGTCGCTAGGTAATAAAGATACTAAAGCGACCTACCTCATTGTGAGCTTTCCTCGGTGCATAGTGATATTAGAGGGGGTAAGGTATCACAGGCACAGTAGTATAGGTAACCACCCTCAATACGATTGGAAGTGTGACGGGATTCCCCGTTCCTGTTCTCATGGTTATGTCATATGCCAGTGGTCATGCATACGTCATGCGCCTCTACTCCAGTACTTAAGGTCTGGTTGCAGGCCCATTACTGTCATCTAACTCTTGCTCTCGTCGTAGCAATATCAATCCTGTATGTGCGAGCTGACCAGACCTTGGGTGGTGCCCGTCACACGAATGGTACAAGTAATGCAGATTATGAAATTCTATTGGGTATAACGTACATGATAAGCGAACGTCCCAGACAAGCGAACGTCCCACAAACTCACTCCTTCGTACCTTCCATCTTTTTATCTACTTTCCTTCACAACGCAACGTGCCCCTAAAAAAAGACAAAGCCCAAGTGCAAGCAGCCCTTCAAGCAATTCAGAACGATCCGAAACTAAGCCTAAGAGCTGCAGCTAGGATCTATTCTGTGGACTACGCGAAGCTCAGTCGCCGAAGACGCGGTAAACATTCACGAAGCGACATTCCAGCTAACTCGCGCAAATTGACCGAACTGGAAAATCGGTTATTGTTCAGTATGTCCTCGATCTGGATTCTAAGGGATTTCCTCCCCGCTTGTCTAGTGTGGAAGATATGGCCAATCGACTACTTGCCGAACGCGACGCGGGACGCGCTGGGCGCACAACTTCGTTAAATGACAACCAGACCTCACGATCCGATTCAATCGGAAATACGACTACCAGAGGGCCCTATGCGAAGATCCAGATATCATTCGTGGCTGGTTCGCGCTTGTACGGAACACAATCGCGAAGTACGGGATCTAAGAGGCAGATATCTACAACTTTGATGAGATTGGGTTTTTGATGGGCGTTATCTCGACGGTACTAGTTGTTACGGGCACCGAACGGCGTGGTAAACGGAAGACAAGGCAGCCAGAGAACCGCAAATGTACTTGCGAAAGGGACGTCGAGGATAATGCATCAGTTTGCATTGTTGAAGGCAGAGAACCAAAGCTTTCGAGCAGTAATTGAGGCGCTAAGCAAACGCTGGAGAGTAAAAAAAAAAAGGTTACGGCAAGGAGGATCGCTTACTGTGCAGGATGGACAGGATTTGCAAGCCCAGAGAGATGTTGCGGTGCAGATACGGGAGGAAACGCAGACGGGTAGTGGTCGGAAGCCGAGGATCGAGACGCGCACGCGGCGTTGTGGCAGATGCGGCGAGCCTGGCCATAATGCACGCACCTGTCAAGGAGTTGCAAAAGTGCCCGAGGAAGACCATTCCGAGTAATTTCAATCATTTTTGTCAGTGTTGGTTGAATCATGTTGAAATATGTTGTGCAGATGTGTTTTTGTGGGACGTTCGCTTGTCTGGGACGTTCGCTTATCATGTACGTTAAACAATTCTATAAGATCTATAAATAGTTCCCCTATATTAGCTCGTAGAAGAACTAGGAGAGCGAGAAAGTCCGAAAAGCTAGGAGAGCTATAAGTTATAAAAGTTACAAAAGTCAAGAAAGCTAGAAAAGCAAGCCGTGTCAGGGGAGCTATAAAGTTATAAAGGCCAAGAAAGCCAGCAAAGCCTGGAAAGCCTGGAAAGCCTGGAAAGCCTGGAAAGCCTGGAAAGCCTGAAAAGCTAGAAAAGTCAGGAAAGCTAGGAAACCCTGGAGAACTAGAAGAGCTATAAAGCTAGAAAAGCTACAAAAGCCGGAAAAGCCAGGAAAGCCCAGAAACGCACGAGAGCTATAAAGTCAGAAACGATACAAAAGCCAAGAAAGCTAGGAAAGTCAAGAAATTCAGAAAAGCTAGAAAAGCCAGGAAGGCTAGGAAAGCCAGAGACGTCACGAGAGCCATAAGCTAGAAAGCTACAAAAGCCAAGAAAGCCAAGAGACCTAAGAAAGTCAGAGTAGTTAATATCTTAAGATAGAAGAATAGTCTTTATATGCTGCAAAACGCTTTCGGCTTGGCCTTCATCGTAACCTGAGCCTAACTCCTTTGCTAACCGGGCAGTATCTGCTACATAGGTTGAGGCTTTTATCAACTCAGCTGGATAGGTATTTGAAAGCTTTGTTGCAAGAGTGGAAAGATTGTTGTGATTTATAGTAGTATTCCCGCTTTTAATATTAGCATATGTTTTGAGAGGAACAATACCACTAAAGTATACATACATTATTCTATCTGCCATCTTCGAGTGCGTGAGAATCAATAGGGGTGATGGCCAAGCGAAGTGAGCCCAACGCTTGCTAATACGGAGACGTTTGTGTAGGCGCTGTCTTACTACTTTATGATTTGATACTACCCCTTGGGCCTTAAGGTATATATCCAGAGCAATATTGGCATCTCTTTGCCCGACTTTCGACTCAATCCGACCATATCTTCGGTCATTTTGCACACTCTTCTTAAGCGAGGCCATAACGTGTGTCAGTTGGAAGTAAGCAAGTCTAGACTGAGGGTGCATATCGCCTTCGATAATGTTGTCCAGACTCTGAAAAGCAGCAATCCAGCTAGGATCGGTATAGCTGAGATTGGTTGGTAAAGTGGTTCTGCGTATTAGGTCTAGCCAAAACTCATAAATCGAGAGTATGTTATTCGCAAAAAAATCTTTCGCATCGTCCCTAAGAAGATTCTGCGCCATCACTGTCGCGTTCATAGGCTGTGTGCCATGTCCAGATTCCGCCATGACTATATCATCCATGTCCTTTGCAAGGCCATTGCAGATTCATAATCCAAGGGCTGTCTGACCTAGGGAAGAACAGTGCTTAAATAAGAGCAAAAGTAATTAATATCTAAATTTAAATCTCAGTTAGTTATTGTCTTTTTACTAATTTGAACTCTATCTCACCGATCTTATATATTATTTTCTGTTTCAAGCTGCAAGAACTCGAACTACGTGCGTACAGTGGCCCTATGAACCTGGTATTCCTTTCCCCCGCGGGATATTACGAGGTCTGGGCATTAGGAAACCGTAGCCTTCCGGGCCCTCCTCGAAGTCACGGAAATCCATGGCCATCTTTCGCCTGGCTTGTGGTCATCGAACTCGCGCGCAACGCGCTGGACATGGCGCTACATCCTTGCCCACCCTTTATTTCGTTTGTTGATTCGCATCCTAGCATAACTACACTAGACATATGCGAGGGCATCTTGCAGCGGCGTCGTGGGGACTGATCTACCACAGATGCATGTTAGATGCAACAGTTGCAGGCGCCGTATAGAGGCATGTATCTTACATGGAAGTGAGGCAGATTGACGGTATTGATTACAGTTCCAAGATTTCTATAGTGCACTGTCCCATCAAGTCATCACAGTCCAAAATCCACAGTCCAAAGTTCAGGGCAAACACTAGTATTGTAAGCAAAAAGTGAAAGAGAGCCGGTCCGTGCTTGAGCATGCCATGGCATTCTCGCCCTAAGGAGCCTTCCGGATGTTAAATTCCCCCCGAGACATGCCAACCATTCATACATGGTGCTGTGCTAGCTGCACAATGCGGAACACACGAAGCAGGGAACTTTGAATGCTCTGCAGAAGGAAACTAGAGACCATTGCTGCTATACTATCTTAGATGATAGGTCGTTGAGTAAAGGGCGTTTAAAGCCTCTTTTCCTCTGCTGCAAGCTCATACACCTCATTCGGAATTGGCTGGGGATCGTCGATCCTCTCAGATTGCTGACTCGCCGTTGCTTTCTTCCTTGCAGAGTACCGACCGCACATATATACGCATGCTCCGAACAATACCAAAAAGAACACCCCACCCAAAACGATGCCAGCGATTAAGGCATTTGAGAAACCTGGCTGGACTGCCGGCAAAGCCATCGGTGTAGTCGACGTATCTGGTGAGGTCGTCCGCCCTCCTGTGCTGCTTCTCACAATAGCTTGTCTAAGATCGGCGTGGGCGCACAACGTGTTGCATGGATCGTTTTTGCAGCACCCTAGGAATGGCGGAGATGTGAAATTGCAAGTATACCATTTAGCGACACCGCTCTCGTCTTTACAATCTTGCGGCAGTATATCATTGAAGGCAGTTTGGGGGAACGTGGCGCTCCGGAGATTCTGCAACGGGCAATTGCCAGAACCATCCGCACAAGGGTCGATAGTACAGCAGCCGATAAACTCCGTTATATTCTGTTTGCAAATGAAGAATTTCCCGCCATCGGGACATGTTAGCCCTAGGTCCAACATGCTGAATGAACAAATCAAGAAATTGTCGTAGTATAGAGTACACTTGTCTAAGCCGAGCTGTTGAAGGTTTTAATGTTTCAAGGTGTGCTGCAATAGTTATCGAAATCTAAAAAATAAGAACCTAAAACGAGGCCCGTCTTCTTCCGGTAGATCTGCGCCTTGATTGGTTAATAGACACTTAGTCTCGCATATCCTGCCCCAGCTTCAACCTTCCTTAGTGGCCAAGCGTAATAAAACGTCCAGCTCACACTTCTCAGCAACGGCTCTCTTGGCTGATCCGACAACAGGGTTTTACATACTTTGGATAACGTTATAGGATGGTATGTCATAAATGAGAGCAGGCAACACAAGCCAGCTTGGCTAGCTAGCTATCTATGGAATGACTGCACTTCAAGAGCTTGTACATTAGATAAGGACTGACTAAGATTATACTAGGGCTTAATCAGAGTCCTCGCTGAATTCACTCAATAGCGTAGAGTATTGGATCGGGATCTCTCCAGTGTGATGATCATCTTCCTTCGTCCGGCGAGCTTCTGTTATTGAATCTTGATATTCCTGGAACGCAACGCTAATGGTCCTAGCAATCTGGGTCACTAATTCGTTTTGTCTGTCTATGTCTCGTTGGCGCTGGAGTAGTTTATCCTCTAACGAAGCCACACGCTCCCGATGCTCATTATTCTTCTGCTCCTGGACTGCAAGGTCCCGTTGCAGTTTGCTATTTTCTCGACGCAGGGCATGCAGCTGCTGATACAACTCCTCCGCATGGCTTTGGATAGGTAGAATCAGTCTTTGCGACAACGGCGGAGGTGCTCTTTTTGGACTTGAAGACTTCTGGATAGCATTGAAATGTACCTTGCCGCCGGGCAGAGGCGGAAGGGCTTTGGCCCTTGAATCCATGTCCGGACGATCTGTTGGTAGTACGTAGGGGAGGGGGCGTGTGCAGAAACAGCTAATATAGCTAGAAAAATATGTATTCGAGCTTGAGTTCTAAAAGTTATTTTTTGGTATCTACTCTGTAGATAGTCTATTTAACGTTCGTGCTAAGTTCAAGCGCTACAAGGTGTAATATTTTAAAACTAGTTTCCGGGGTCCCTACTATATACAGTACACACATGTACACAGTCGTACACATGTCCACACGTACACACGTACACACATACACACGTACACACACACAAACACACAAACACACACACACACACACACACACACACACACACACACACACACACACACACACACACACACACACTCACTCACTCACTCACTCTCACTCACTCACTCACTCACTCACTCACTCACTCACTCACTCACTCACTCACTCACTTTCACACACACTCTCACACACACTCAC